GGCTTCGGCCTCCCTCACCTTCACTCTTGACTCTGGGGCGTCTCGCTCCTTCTTTCGGGACCGCACCACACTCACGCCGCTTAGTCGGCCGGTTGCGGTGTCTCTGGCTGACCCCTCTGGGGGTCCGGTCCTGTCTCGTTTCTCCACAGTCCTCCCGTGTCCGGCGGCTCCCTCTGGCACCCTGTCTGGTCTCTACCTCCCCTCGTTCTCGACGAACCTGGTGAGTGGTGCTGACCTACAGGATGCGGGTGTCCACCAGTTCACTCCTGCACGTCAGAGAGTGACCCACTGTACAGAGGCTGGCACAGGCCGACACCTGGCTACGTTCACCCGTCAGCCGGGGTCGAGCCTGTACACTCTGACCACTGCGTCTCCTCCAGTTGCTGAGTCTGGTAGGGTAGTTACGTCGGGTCAGGTGTTTGCTGCGGCGTCCAGGTCTGGTCCTGAGTCTGCCCCCTGTTCGTGTCGTCTCCTGTCTCACGAGACTCTCCTCTGGCACCACCGCCTTGGCCACCCCTCTCTGCTTCGGCTCAGAGGTATGGCCTCCCGTCTTCTTGTGTCCGGTCTCCCCCGGTCCCTCCCTCCCCTTCCTCAGGGCCCTGGCCCTACCTGTGTCCCCTGTGTCGAGGGGCGCCAGCGTGCTGCCCCTCACTCCTCCCAGTTTCCTTCGACAGAGGCCCCGTTGCAGACACTTCACATGGACGTGTGGGGCCCAGCCCGCGTCCGTGGACAGGGTCACGAGCGCTACTTCCTGCTCGTTGTTGACGACTACTCGCGTTACACCACAGTCTTCCCCTTGCGCAGCAAGGGTGATGTCACTGAGGTGCTGATCGACTGGATCCGCGCAGCTCGTCTCCAGCTCAGGCAGAGCTTCGGCTCGGACTTTCCTGTTCTGCGTCTGCACTCGGACAGAGGCGGAGAGTTCTCCTCTGGCCTTCTGCGTGCCTACTGTCGTGCACGGGGCATCCGTCAGACCTTCACGCTTCCGGACTCACCGCAGCAAAATGGGATTGCTGAGCGCCGCATTGGCATGGTCATGGACGTCGCTCGTACGTCTATGATGCATGCGGCTGCCCCCCATTTTCTGTGGCCGTTTGCGGTGAGGTACGCGGCGCATCAGATCAACCTCCACCCCAGGGTCTCCAGGCCGGAGACCTCCCCAGCCTTGCTGTGGACGGGGAAGGTTGGCGATGCGTCGGCGTTCCGGGTCTGGGGATCTCGGGCGTTTGTCCGCGACCTGTCTGCGGACAAACTATCCCCTCGTGCTGCTCCTTGCGTCTTCCTGGGGTTCCCCCCTGACGCGCCTGGGTGGCAGTTTTACCACCCCACCTCTCGCCGTGTTCTGTCCTCCCAGGACGTCACGTTTGACGAGTCGGTCCCCTACTACCGCCTTTTTCCCTACCGCACTCCGTCCCTCCCCCCACCCCCACTCTTCTTGGTACCAGGTCCCCCCCAGGTCGACCCCCTCCCCCCTCAGGGTCCTGCCCCTTCAGGTGTGTCCCAGGTAGACGCAGTCGAGCCTGTCGAGGTCACTGGTGACTCTGGTGCTGCTGAGGGTGCTGAGGCTGGGGGTGCTGTACCTGCGGGTGCGGAGCCTAGGGGTGCTGGGCCTGGGGGTGCTGCGTCTGGGGGTGCTGAGCCTAGGGGTGCTGAGCCTAGGGGTGCTGAGCCTGGGGGTGCTGAGCCTCGGGGTACTGAGCCTGGGGGTACTGAGCCTGGGGGTGCTGAGCCTGGGGGTGCTGAGCCTAGGGGTGCTGAGCCTGGGGGTGCTGAGCCTAGGGGTGCTACGTCTGGGGGTGTTGAGCCTAGGGGTGCTACGCCTGGGGGTGCTGAGCCTGGAGGTGCTCCGCCTGGAGGTTCTCCGAGTGCTTCGTCTCGCCGGGAGCCACTTTCTCCACAGGAGCTGCGTGAGTGGTTTGCCCGGCGCTGGAGGCGTGCTGCTGGTGCTGGAGGTCCTTCGGCTGCTGAGGGTGCTGCGGTCGCGGGTCCCGCAGGTGCTCGTCCTGGGTGCACTGGAGCTGGTGCTGCTGAGGGTGTTGGCGCTGAGACTACCGCTGGCAGTCCTGCTGGGGGTGCTCCTGGTGCTGCTGGAGGTTCTGGAGCTCCTGGTGGTGCTGCTGGAGCGGGTGCTCCTGCTGAGGGTTCTGGTGCTGTCCCTGCTGCTTCTAGCGTCGCCGCGCGGCCTCGACCGTACTTCGTTCCACTCCTGCAGCAGGTTCTTGGTCTTCCACCTTCTACTGGTCCTCCTCCTCCCTTAGAGTGTCCACAGCCTGTCTCGTCCCAGCTACAGTTGCAGCCTACCTCCCCTTTGCCTGCTCCTTCTCCCTACACTGGTCCTACTGGAGGTCTGGCTGAGCGTCGTGAGCCTGCGTCTCGCCCTGCGTCGCCTGTCCGTGCTGCTCGCACTAGTGGTCGCGGTTCGCGTCAGCGTCCTCCTCCTGTCCCTGGCACGCACCGGATGTCTTTGCGTCCGTCCACTGCTCCTCTGCGTGCCCCTTTGCCTTCTCCTCCTGCGTCCTCTCTTCCTGCTCTTGCCGACCCGGAGTCGGACTCTCTTCGTGCTGCCAGTCCTACTGTCACGCGTCTCCTTGCTACTGTTGTCACTGACCCTTCTTTCGAGTCTACTGCTGCGTCTGCTCTCGTTACTGAGCTCGTCGACTTTGCTGCTCGCTGTCGCTTAGACTACGCTGCTAGTCTCGTCGCTGAGTCTGAGTCTGTCTGTCCTCCGTCCGTCGGGGGTGAGTGTGCCCTTGGCACGGACGTCCTTGAGGACAGGCAGGAGGAGTTCCAGTGTCTGGCAGCTGCCTCACCTCATCTCGTGTCCGTACTGCTTACCCCTGAGGGAGACCCGGATGCACTTGACATCCCGACTCCGCGCTCTTACGCGGAGGCGATAGAGGGTCCCTACTCCTCTCAGTGGCAGGCAGCTATGGATGCAGAGATGGCTTCCTGGAAGTCCACAGGCACCTACGTTGACGCTGTCCCCCCTCCTGGGGCGAACATCGTCAGTGGCATGTGGATCTTCAGGGTGAAGCGGCCGCCGGGTTCTCCGCCTGTCTTCAAGGCGCGTTACGTGGCTCGTGGCTTCAGTCAGCGGCAGGGAGTTGACTACTTTCAGACCTTCTCCCCCACCCCGAAGATGACCACTCTTCGGGTACTGCTGCATGTTGCTGCTCACCGTGACTACGAGCTGCACTCTCTTGACTTCAGCACAGCTTTCTTGCAGGGCAGCCTGCACGAGGAGATCTGGCTGCGTCGCCCACCTGGCTTCACTGGGTCTTTCCCTCCTGGTACCCAGTGGAGTCTCCGGCGTCCAGTCTACGGTCTCCGCCAGGCGCCACGTGAGTGGCACGACACACTGAGGACTACGCTTGCGGCTCTTGGGTTTGCTCCTTCTACTGCCGACCCGTCGCTGTTTCTACGCACCGACACCTCTCTGCCGCCGTTCTACATCCTCGTGTACGTCGACGACTTGGTCTTTGCCACAGCTGACACTGCTGGACTCGCCTACGTGAAGTCCGAGCTGCAGAAGAGACACACGTGCACAGACCTGGGTGAACTGCGCAGCTACCTTGGCTTGCAGATCACCCGGGACAGAGCACGCCGCACCATTACCCTGACTCAGTCACACATGGTGCAGCAGGTCCTTCAGCGCTTCGGCTTCACGTACTCCTCGCCTCAGGCCACTCCTCTGTCTACTCGCCACTCGCTCTCAGCTCTGCCTTCGGATGAGTCCGTAGAGTCGAGTGGCCCGTACCCAGAGCTTGTTGGCTGCCTCATGTACCTGATGACCTGCACACGACCTGACCTTGCATACCCTCTTAGCATTCTTGCACGCTATGTTGCTCCTGGGAGACACAGACCAGAGCACATGGCTGCAGCGAAGAGGGTGTTGCGCTACTTGTGCAGTACGTCGGGCATGGGGCTAGTGCTTGGAGGGCGGAGTCCAGTGGTCCTCACTGGGCACGCGGACGCTTCTTGGGCTGACGACCAGGCTACGCAGCGGTCGTCACAGGGTTACACCTTCAGCCTTGGTTCCGGCTCTGTTTCGTGGCGGGCTACTCGCTCGTCTTCTGTTCTTGGCTCGAGTTGTGAGGCTGAGATCTACGCCGGGGCCATGGCTGCACAGGAGCTTCGCTGGCTCACCTACCTGCTGACCGACCTTGGAGAGCCGCCTCGTTCTCCTCCAGTCCTGTACGTAGACAACAAGGCCATGCTGGCCTTGTGTCGAGAGCAGCGACTGGAGCACAGAACAAAGCACATTGCTCTCCGCTACTTCCTTGCTCGTGAGCTACAGCAACGTGGACAGTTGCGGCTTGCGTACGTGGCCTCTGAGGCCAACACTGCTGATGTCTTCACCAAGGCACTTCCGCCTTGTGATCATCAGCGCTTCTGCACTCAGCTGGGTCTTGTGCCCGTCTTGCCTCACTTGCTCTCCTCTTGACCTTGCTTGTACTCTCACATATATATATACCTGCTCTTGCTTGTCTAGCTTTATATATATGTGTGTACTCTTGCATGTGAACTGGCCGTGTGGCCTTGACCCTGTGCTCGGACTGTGTGGTGACTTTGTGATCCACCCTGAGCTTGCTTTGCTTTGCTTTGCTTGACTGGTCTTGTGACCCCTTGTTCTCCCCCACTTTGCCTATGGGGGTGTGTCAGAACATTGTAGCTTATGCTGTTGTGTAGGCTATAGTGGGGTATCCCATAGGGGGTACAACCAATTAGGGTTTCATATTTGTACTCACATCATTTCATAGTTCACCCATTCTCGTTCTCATTCTCACACCAATGGTGCTAGTGGTACTGGTGGTGCTGCTGTTGCTGGTGGTGCTGCTGCTGGTGGTGCTAGTTCAAATGAGGCAACTGGGCAAGGCAAGAAGGGCGGTAAGGGGAAGAAGGGGCAGCAGGAGCAGCAGCACGTGAAGGAGCAGGAGAGTGACAGAAGGAGAGGTGCTTATAAGGAGGGCATGGCGAGGCTTCAGCATGATTCCCCACTGATGGAAGCTATGAGGGAGATAGAGGAGGAGGTGGGGGGGAGGAGCGGGGGGGGCGGGAACAGAAGGACCCGCGACCGCTGCGTGGAGTGCTTCATTCGCCGCTCGCGCAAGACCGGCACGTTCACGCTGTTTCTGGGCGTGCCGCCGAATTCGACGGAGAACGGCAAGTTCCTGCTCGCGGCGCGCAAGTGCGGCTGGCGGCCGTCAAGGTAAGCGGATAGCCGACTGCTTTAAAAAATCGTTTGACCCTAAACCGGAGTTGGTGTTTGTGCTTGTAGCCCTATTCTGCCCGTTTAACAAACCCTTGTTTGTGCTGGTTACGCTAATGCCTTCGTTCGCTTCAAATCGCACACCTGAGTTTGTGTCTCGCAAATTCACGTTTGCATGGAAAAAGTGTTTGTGCTGGTCACCCTATTGTGTCCGTTTCGCTCTGTTTCGCAACTTTCGAAATCATTCCAGCATGGAGTACGTGGTCTCGCTGGATCCGAAAGACTTTTCGCGCGGCGGAAGTTCGTTCGTCGGTCGCCTGCGAGCGAATTTCCTAAGCACGCGATTTGCCGTCTTTGAATCGTCGCACGAGGTGAGCGATGAAACCTGAGTTCGTTCGCATCGCACAATGTTAGGAAGGTTACAGTTCTACAACCGACTTTTGAGTCGTCTTAGAATAGACTTTTTTCACACAATATTAAGAAGGTTACACTCCTTCAACCGAGGTGTTTTAGAGTTTGAGTAGTTAGGGGTAACTTGGATGTGAAGACTTCTAGAAGAAGCTTACGGCTCTTCAACCCGCACCCGTATTTGCTACAGTATTGGAGTTCTTCTTTCGTAGTGTATATTGTCTTGACGGATCCGCCGCAGCTACCATAGCGCTCGACACCCAGGGTGTAAGAAAGCTGTCGCGAATGCCATAGGCGAGAAAAATTGCACCCAGTAACGCAGTATTTATCTTCCAAGCCCAAAACTGTCGAAGCTCCTCTCGGCGTCCGTTAATTTGCGCCAATTTTACCGTTTCGCCTGCCCCCCCATTCCTCTCCCTCCCCTCCTCACCCTCACCCCCCCCCCCCCCCCCCCCCCCCTCCGCCCTCCCGTCCCCCCCGCGCCGCATTTCCTGCGCATTTCCTCGTGCAGCCCGCTTTTTCTCTCGGCGCGGCGTCGCTGGCGCACGGCGGAAGCAGCAGCAGCAGCCGCAAGGTGCATCCCCGCGGAGCCGCTTTTTCCGCCAACGGTTACCACCACTGTAACCACTGTAGCAATCGGTGTGGTAACCACCATTGTGGTTACAACTGTGGCAGCAGCAGCACGGGCAGCAGAGGGGCCGGCACCCCTGTCGCGTGTAACGGTAACTTGGGCAGCTTTAACGGTTCCAGCTGTAGCGGCGCCAGCTGTAGCAGGGGTAGCGACGGGACAGGATTACTCGGCGCAGGTATTACCAGCAGTAGTGGCAGCGGCAGCGCCATTGGTGGTCGGGGCGATTGTAACGGCGCAAATGACGCTGACACGGCCACGTCAGCAGCGGTATCGTCAAGCCTCCGCGCACATTCCCCGCTTCCGCCTTCCCCCCTTGCTCGAAGCTTCCCTCTTCCGCGCTGTCTTCCGCCTCTCCCGCCGCCCGTTCTTGCGCATACAGGCTCAGTGGGGGGAAGGGGGAGGCGGGGGGGATTGTGAGTGAGTTTGAGTGGGGAGGGGGGGAGAGAGAGGAGGTGACTGTAGAAGAAGTGACTGAAGGGAGAGTGGGAGGGCGGGAGGAAGAGGGGAAGGGAGAGAGAGGGGAGGGGAAGAGAGTGGAGAGAGGGGAGGTAGAGAGGGAGGAGGGGACGGGAGAGGAGAGGAGGAAGAACGAGACCGAGGAGAGGCAAGAGAAGGAGGAGAGGGAGGAGGAGGAGAGATTGCTGGTGAGGCTCACTGGGAGTGGAGAAGAGGAGGGGGAGGGCGAGAAGCAAGAATGCACAGCAGCGGAGGAAGCAAGGGAAGCGAGGGAAGCAAGGTCACCACCCACAATCTGCACAAGAGAGCCCTTGGTCTCGTTCCCAGAGAGTGGGGAAGAGATGGGTGCGGGAGAGAGAATGGGGAGCAGTGGTAAGGAGGAGAGCAATGAGCAGCAGAGCATGCGAGAGGAGGGTGTGGAAGCAGGGGGGCAGTGGGAGAAGAAGAGTCAAGAGGAGAGAAGTCCGGAGGACGGGAGTTTAGAGGAGGGGAATCAGCAGGAGGAGTGTGGGGATTGGCCGACAGACGGCGCGTGTGAGCAGCAGGAGAGCAGTGGAGAGGGAAGGAGTGAGCAGGAGGGCAATCAGGGTTGGTTGCAAGGCGGAGGTTTCCAGGTGGCTTTTGAGTCAACTCAAATCACGCAAGGCGGAGGTTTCCAGGAAAGCAGCGGCAGCGAAGGCCTTCATATCTCCCCCTTCCCCGCCTCCGCGGACCCCTTCCTTCCCCCTGCTGCCCTTGAGCTTCCCCCTGCCGCCCTGCCCTTGCCCCTGCCCCTGCCCCTGCCCCTGCCCCTGCCCCTGCCCCTGCCCCTGCCCCTGCCCTTGCCCACATTGGAACTAGAAGCGGCACTAACAGCAGCAGCAGCAGCAGCAGCATCAGCAGCAACAGCAAGCGGAACGGCATGGTCAGAAGCAGCAGCAGCAAGAGCTGTGGCTTCACCAGAAGCAGCAGCAGCAAGAGCTGTGGCTTCACCAGAAGCAGCAGCAGCAGGTGCCAGAGCTGCGGCGGCTGTCACTCCCCCGTTCGCCTCCTCCTCTCTCCCCTCGGGTCCCTTGACTCCCCCATTCACCCCTTCCTCTCTCCCTGCTGCAGCTGCGACTCCCCCATTTGCTGCTTCGTCTGCCCCGTCTCCTGCCGCCCTTCCTGCTGCTCCTTCTGCTTCTGCTGCTCCTTCCCCTGCTGCTGCGCCTCCTGCTTTCAATGCAGAGGCAGATGCGGAGGGTGACACTGAGGGTGACTGTACGGAGTGTGACTGTGTGCGGTGCATCGGCCGAGCGCCTCTAGAGCCCATGGTGTTGCGGAACAAGCCACCCAGATGGCACGAGCAGCTGCAGGTATGTGTGTTTATTGGGGAATGAGGAGCGGTGCACAGCAGTACAGGGGAGTATTAAGCGGTGTTCGTATGGAAATAGATGAAGCCGAGCGCCCTTAGAGCCCATGGTGTTGCGGAACAAGCCTCCCAGATGGCACGAGCAGCTGCAGGTATGTGTGTGGGTGCTGGGGGGTGGGAAGCGGTGCACGGGAGTACAGGGTAGTTCAAGGGAGTATGAGGCCGAGCGCCTCTGGAGCCCATGGCGTTGCGGAACAAGTCTCGCAGATGGCACGAGCAGCTGCAGGTGAGGGGATACAAGGGGATATGGAGGAGTGCAAAGGAGTATAAGGGAGTATATGGGAGTATAGGGCAATATAAAGCTTTTTATCATGGGCCGAGCGCCCCTAGAGACTGTGGTATCGAGGAACAAGCCTCCCCGGTGGCACGCGCAGCTGCAGGTGTGTGTGTATTGAGGAAGGCAATTACAGATTAGAAAGCGAAATCTATCATGAAACATTGGGCCGAGCGCTCCCTCCCCTCCCCTCGCCTCCCCTCCTCGCCTTCCAGTGCTGGTGCCTCAACTTCAGAGGGCGAGTAACGGTTGCTTCGGTGAACAACTTCCAGCTGATAGAGGAGGGTGGGCCGGGGAGCATCTCAAATAAGGCCCTTCCAATCCTCCCTTGCATCCCCTTTTCCTGTCCATCCCATACACGCTTCCAGTGCTGGTGCCTCAACTTCAGGGGGCGAGTGACAGGGGGTGCTTCTGTGAAGAATTTCCAGCTGATAGAGGGGGGGGGGGGGCGGGGAACGACTCGGACAAGCCCCCTTCTCATCCCGCCCTTGCCTCCCCTTGCCTGCCCTCCCCCTCCCACACTGCCAGTGCTGGTGCTTGAACTTCAGGGGGCGAGTGACAGTGGCTTCAGTGAAGAACTTCCAGCTGATCGAGGGGGGCGGGCCGGGGAACGACTCTGACAAGCCGGTGCTGCTCCCCCCTTTCCCACCCCCTACCCGCCTCCCCTTTCCCGTACTCCCTTGCAGTGTTGGTGCCTCAACTTCCGTGGCCGCGTGACAGTAGCATCAGTGAAGAATTTTCAGCTGATAGAGGGGGGCGGGCCGGGGAACGACTCGGACAAGCCGGTGCTGCTGCAGTTCGGGAAGATTGACAAGGACGCTTTTACTATGGACTACAGATATCCACTCACGGCCTTCCAGGTGTGTTATTCTAGCACAAGTGCTGGTGTGTATGGTGCGGTGCCCTGAAGGTGTTGCTGCAGTTTGGGAAGATTGGCAAGGACACGTTCACCATGGACTACAGATACCCGCTTACTGCCTTCCAGGTGGGTGCTTCTTCTTTGAATGCTAGTGTGTATGGTTCGGAGCCCTGCCGGTGCTGCTGCTGCAGTTTGGCAAGATCGGAAAGGACACCTTTACCATGGACTACAGATACCCGCTTACGGCCTTCCAGGTGCGTAGTGCATGTGCCAAGTGCGTGCTGCTCTGTTTGGCTGAGGGTAGCTCATAGAGAGGAGCGGACCGGGGAACGACTCTGATAAGCCAGTGCTGCTGCAGTGTGGGAAGATTGGCAAGGACACTTTCACCATGGATAACAGATACCCGCTTACTGACTCCAGGTGGGTAGTGAAGTGCTGTTTCATGTGGTTAAAAATCGGTGCTCTGCCAGTGCTGCTGCTGCAGTTTGGCAAGATCGGCAAGGACACATTCACCATGGACTACAGATACCCGCTCACGGCCTTCCAGGTGGGTAGTGCTGCGTGTTCAGGGTGAGTTTCCTTTCAGGTATTGATACGCATGCAAGCCGGTGTTGCTGCAGTTGGGAAGATTGGCAAGGACACATTCACCATGGACTACAGATATCCACTCACGGCCTTCCAGGTAAGTGTGGACGGCCAGGTGTTTCCTCAGGTTTGTCTTTGGGTATCGTGTCAATACGCTTTCCCCATCTCCCGTCTCCCCGTGTTCTCTTCCCCTTGCCTTCTGGGCTGTTTTCTTTGTGCGTGCCCACATGTCACATGTCACATGTGCTTTCCTTGCTTCATATCACATGTCTGACGGATTGTTTTCTGCTTTGTATGTGTTCCCACGTCATGTGTGTTTTCCCTACATTATGCGTGCAGGCGTTTGCCATTTGCCTGAGCAGTTTCGATACCAAAGTGGCGTGCGAGTGATTCCATCATCACTTCCATCATCAGTTGAAAGCTTTTCAAGCTGTTGTTTTGTCGAGTCCAAAATCCACGTGCGAGCGAAATAGTGACACCGACGGCTTTTCGCGTTGCGTTCTAGATATGGTGTGGTGTGGTGTGGTACTGATGATGCGTGAAGAGGATTCCTCACTCAGGAACAACCAAGGGCAACAAATGAAAAAAAGACAGCGTGATGATATCTGGGAGACTGGAAAAGGGCATGTGCGTTGTGCTGATACAGCGGGTGGTGGTGGTGGTGTATTTTTTCTGCTTTGTGGTGCAATGCTGCGGATGAAAAGGTACTGGTAAGTTTCCTCTGGAGGAACGGGATTGTCTTTTGTGTACCTCGGATATGGGTTGGTTATTAAGGTTTGGACAATTGTGTTTAGGGACGGATGGTGATGACTGATTCAGGGATGTAGTCATGCTGGTGCCCTTGTTTGTTATTCCTGTACTCTTTGTATTGTAACGAAATTGTGGCTTATGTTTGTATCAGAGTAGAAGTTCACGGTACCTCTGTAGCTGAAGTGCATCTGCCCGTATCGGGTACAACCGGTTACCAGATTCCTCCTAAAGCTTGGACAATTGTCGGTTCAGCTGGTTCTACAACGGTCAATTTGATACCTAGGCTGGTTGGTTAGGGTATATCGGGACGCTGATTCAAATCTGACCGACTAATAAATGGGACGAGCAGTCGTGTGTGTTGGAGTGGTTCGCAGAACCACACTAACGACAGGCGCTCATTATTCGGACCGACGACTAAGACGGACTGACGGTGGCGTGTTGACAGTGCCTTGGGAACTAGAGAGGAAACTACGACATTGCTTGGGAGTATGAGCTACGGCAAGAGAAGTATGGAAGGAAGACATTGACGAGGAGGAAGTGAGGAGAAAGTGATCGACGGGGGGAAATTGTGTGGGTCAACTGTGGCGTGTTCAGCAAGGAACCAAATGCGGACTTCAGGCGCGTTCGACGAAGGTGGAGAAAGGTTGCGTGTGCGACGCGGGGTGAAACGAGGCGCCACGTAACGTGTTGGACACGTTTTGTTACCTAGCCCATTTTGTACCTTGCTTGAACCTATATATTTGTTGTACCAGGTTGTTGAAGTAACACTTTGAAATTCTATCGCTTCAAACATTGTGTTCAATCCTGATTGGTCGAAACTTTGAGCATTTGATGAGACTCCCGTCAGATTCGCGTCAAACCTACGGAGAAGCCTTTGTGAAGGCTTAGACAAGCATTAGTGACGGAAATTTCAGCCGCGAGACTCCCGTCAAAGCCCTGCGAAGGGCCGAACCTGTTTCACTCGAGTGTAGGGCCCGCGAAAGCCCCGTGAAGGATCAGTGAAGACCACGCGAAGCAGAAATCGCCTCAGGATCGCGTCAAGGGTTGAGTAAAGGCCTCGTCGAGGCCCCGTTAAGGCCGCGTAAGCCTCCCGTGAGGCGTTTCGCGACCAACACTGTGCTTCTACTTCGTTGCTGTGACATAGCCATTTCTACGAGCTTCACTAGAATCCAGTTTTCTACGAGCTTCGCTAGAATCCAGTTTTCCTCCGCTCGATCTGATTGGTCGACGGGTTCTCGTGGCGGATAGCCCTGGAGCTGACGTGGCAGGGGGTGGAGCTGTCGTGGCAGGGTCTGAGGGAGCCAAACCAGGGCAGGAAGGTTCTGAGAAGCAGACAAAGGCTGCAAGTGGGGGGGCGAGTGGGAGGCGAGGGGGAGGTAGAACTGGTGTAGGCAGTATCTTCCTGATGGGGGGCCAAGGAGACAAGGAGCAAGGAGAGAGGGGCCAGATCCCAACAATGAAGCGGGAAGTGGTTTCAGGGATAAAAGTGCTTATAAAGGGGGAAGGTGGGGGTGGGGGAGGTTCGGCAGCGGGTGGTTCGGGCCGAACCCGGCTCATGCCAAGCCCGAACCTCCCAATTGCAGCTCCCGTGTTTGTTAAACCAAGCAGTGCTAACAGTAGTACCAATGGTGCTAGTGGTACTGGTGGTGCTGCTGTTGCTGGTGGTGCTGCTGCTGGTGGTGCTAGTTCAAATGAGGCAACTGGGCAAGGCAAGAAGGGCGGTAAGGGGAAGAAGGGGCAGCAGGAGCAGCAGCACGTGAAGGAGCAGGAGAGTGACAGAAGGAGAGGTGCTTATAAGGAGGGCATGGCGAGGCTTCAGCATGATTCCCCACTGATGGAAGCTATGAGGGAGATAGAGGAGGAGGTGGGGGGGAGGAGCGGGGGGGGCGGGAACAGAAGGACCCGCGACCGCTGCGTGGAGTGCTTCATTCGCCGCTCGCGCAAGACCGGCACGTTCACGCTGTTTCTGGGCGTGCCGCCGAATTCGACGGAGAACGGCAAGTTCCTGCTCGCGGCGCGCAAGTGCGGCTGGCGGCCGTCAAGGTAAGCGGATAGCCGACTGCTTTAAAAAATCGTTTGACCCTAAACCGGAGTTGGTGTTTGTGCTTGTAGCCCTATTCTGCCCGTTTAACAAACCCTTGTTTGTGCTGGTTACGCTAATGCCTTCGTTCGCTTCAAATCGCACACCTGAGTTTGTGTCTCGCAAATTCACGTTTGCATGGAAAAAGTGTTTGTGCTGGTCACCCTATTGTGTCCGTTTCGCTCTGTTTCGCAACTTTCGAAATCATTCCAGCATGGAGTACGTGGTCTCGCTGGATCCGAAAGACTTTTCGCGCGGCGGAAGTTCGTTCGTCGGTCGCCTGCGAGCGAATTTCCTAAGCACGCGATTTGCCGTCTTTGAATCGTCGCACGAGGTGAGCGATGAAACCTGAGTTCGTTCGCATCGCACAATGTTAGGAAGGTTACAGTTCTACAACCGACTTTTGAGTCGTCTTAGAATAGACTTTTTTCACACAATATTAAGAAGGTTACACTCCTTCAACCGAGGTGTTTTAGAGTTTGAGTAGTTAGGGGTAACTTGGATGTGAAGACTTCTAGAAGAAGCTTACGGCTCTTCAACCCGCACCCGTATTTGCTACAGTATTGGAGTTCTTCTTTCGTAGTGTATATTGTCTTGACGGATCCGCCGCAGCTACCATAGCGCTCGACACCCAGGGTGTAAGAAAGCTGTCGCGAATGCCATAGGCGAGAAAAATTGCACCCAGTAACGCAGTATTTATCTTCCAAGCCCAAAACTGTCGAAGCTCCTCTCGGCGTCCGTTAATTTGCGCCAATTTTACCGTTTCGCCTGCCCCCCCATTCCTCTCCCTCCCCTCCTCACCCTCACCCCCCCCCCCCCCCCCCCCTCCGCCCTCCCGTCCCCCCCGCGCCGCATTTCCTGCGCATTTCCTCGTGCAGCCCGCTTTTTCTCTCGGCGCGGCGTCGCTGGCGCACGGCGGAAGCAGCAGCAGCAGCCGCAAGGTGCATCCCCGCGGAGCCGCTTTTTCCGCCAACGGTTACCACCACTGTAACCACTGTAGCAATCGGTGTGGTAACCACCATTGTGGTTACAACTGTGGCAGCAGCAGCACGGGCAGCAGAGGGGCCGGCACCCCTGTCGCGTGTAACGGTAACTTGGGCAGCTTTAACGGTTCCAGCTGTAGCGGCGCCAGCTGTAGCAGGGGTAGCGACGGGACAGGATTACTCGGCGCAGGTATTACCAGCAGTAGTGGCAGCGGCAGCGCCATTGGTGGTCGGGGCGATTGTAACGGCGCAAATGACGCTGACACGGCCACGTCAGCAGCGGTATCGTCAAGCCTCCGCGCACATTCCCCGCTTCCGCCTTCCCCCCTTGCTCGAAGCTTCCCTCTTCCGCGCTGTCTTCCGCCTCTCCCGCCGCCCGTTCTTGCGCATACAGGCTCAGTGGGGGGAAGGGGGAGGCGGGGGGGATTGTGAGTGAGTTTGAGTGGGGAGGGGGGGAGAGAGAGGAGGTGACTGTAGAAGAAGTGACTGAAGGGAGAGTGGGAGGGCGGGAGGAAGAGGGGAAGGGAGAGAGAGGGGAGGGGAAGAGAGTGGAGAGAGGGGAGGTAGAGAGGGAGGAGGGGACGGGAGAGGAGAGGAGGAAGAACGAGACCGAGGAGAGGCAAGAGAAGGAGGAGAGGGAGGAGGAGGAGAGATTGCTGGTGAGGCTCACTGGGAGTGGAGAAGAGGAGGGGGAGGGCGAGAAGCAAGAATGCACAGCAGCGGAGGAAGCAAGGGAAGCGAGGGAAGCAAGGTCACCACCCACAATCTGCACAAGAGAGCCCTTGGTCTCGTTCCCAGAGAGTGGGGAAGAGATGGGTGCGGGAGAGAGAATGGGGAGCAGTGGTAAGGAGGAGAGCAATGAGCAGCAGAGCATGCGAGAGGAGGGTGTGGAAGCAGGGGGGCAGTGGGAGAAGAAGAGTCAAGAGGAGAGCAGTCCGGAGGACGGGAGTTTAGAGGAGGGGAATCAGCAGGAGGAGTGTGGGGATTGGCCGACAGACGGCGCGTGTGAGCAGCAGGAGAGCAGTGGAGAGGGAAGGAGTGAGCAGGAGGGCAATCAGGGTTGGTTGCAAGGCGGAGGTTTCCAGGTGGCTTTTGAGTCAACTCAAATCACGCAAGGCGGAGGTTTCCAGGAAAGCAGCGGCAGCGAAGGCCTTCATATCTCCCCCTTCCCCGCCTCCGCGGACCCCTTCCTTCCCCCTGCTGCCCTTGAGCTTCCCCCTGCCGCCCTGCCCTTGCCCCTGCCCCTGCCCCTGCCCTGCCCCTGCCCCTGCCCCTGCCCCTGCCCCTGCCCTTGCCCACATTGGAACTAGAAGCGGCACTAACAGCAGCAGCAGCAGCAGCAGCATCAGCAGCAACAGCAAGCGGAACGGCATGGTCAGAAGCAGCAGCAGCAAGAGCTGTGGCTTCACCAGAAGCAGCAGCAGCAAGAGCTGTGGCTTCACCAGAAGCAGCAGCAGCAGGTGCCAGAGCTGCGGCGGCTGTCACTCCCCCGTTCGCCTCCTCCTCTCTCCCCTCGGGTCCCTTGACTCCCCCATTCACCCCTTCCTCTCTCCCTGCTGCAGCTGCGACTCCCCCATTTGCTGCTTCGTCTGCCCCGTCTCCTGCCGCCCTTCCTGCTGCTCCTTCTGCTTCTGCTGCTCCTTCCCCTGCTGCTGCGCCTCCTGCTTTCAATGCAGAGGCAGATGCGGAGGGTGACACTGAGGGTGACTGTACGGAGTGTGACTGTGTGCGGTGCATCGGCCGAGCGCCTCTAGAGCCCATGGTGTTGCGGAACAAGCCACCCAGATGGCACGAGCAGCTGCAGGTATGTGTGTTTATTGGGGAATGAGGAGCGGTGCACAGCAGTACAGGGGAGTATTAAGCGGTGTTCGTATGGAAATAGATGAAGCCGAGCGCCCTTAGAGCCCATGGTGTTGCGGAACAAGCCTCCCAGATGGCACGAGCAGCTGCAGGTATGTGTGTGGGTGCTGGGGGGTGGGAAGCGGTGCACGGGAGTACAGGGTAGTTCAAGGGAGTATGAGGCCGAGCGCCTCTGGAGCCCATGGCGTTGCGGAACAAGTCTCGCAGATGGCACGAGCAGCTGCAGGTGAGGGGATACAAGGGGATATGGAGGAGTGCAAAGGAGTATAAGGGAGTATATGGGAGTATAGGGCAATATAAAGCTTTTTATCATGGGCCGAGCGCCCCTAGAGACTGTGGTATCGAGGAACAAGCCTCCCCGGTGGCACGCGCAGCTGCAGGTGTGTGTGTATTGAGGAAGGCAATTACAGATTAGAAAGCGAAATCTATCATGAAACATTGGGCCGAGCGCTCCCTCCCCTCCCCTCGCCTCCCCTCCTCGCCTTCCAGTGCTGGTGCCTCAACTTCAGAGGGCGAGTAACGGTTGCTTCGGTGAACAACTTCCAGCTGATAGAGGAGGGTGGGCCGGGGAGCATCTCAAATAAGGCCCTTCCAATCCTCCCTTGCATCCCCTTTTCCTGTCCATCCCATACACGCTTCCAGTGCTGGTGCCTCAACTTCAGGGGGCGAGTGACAGGGGGTGCTTCTGTGAAGAATTTCCAGCTGATAGAGGGGGGGGGGGGGGCGGGGAACGACTCGGACAAGCCCCCTTCTCATCCCGCCCTTGCCTCCCCTTGCCTGCCCTCCCCCTCCCACACTGCCAGTGCTGGTGCTTGAACTTCAGGGGGCGAGTGACAGTGGCTTCAGTGAAGAACTTCCAGCTGATCGAGGGGGGCGGGCCGGGGAACGACTCTGACAAGCCGGTGCTGCTCCCCCCTTTCCCACCCCCTACCCGCCTCCCCTTTCCCGTACTCCCTTGCAGTGTTGGTGCCTCAACTTCCGTGGCCGCGTGACAGTAGCATCAGTGAAGAATTTTCAGCTGATAGAGGGGGGCGGGCCGGGGAACGACTCGGACAAGCCGGTGCTGCTGCAGTTCGGGAAGATTGACAAGGACGCTTTTACTATGGACTACAGATATCCACTCACGGCCTTCCAGGTGTGTTATTCTAGCACAAGTGCTGGTGTGTATGGTGCGGTGCCCTGAAGGTGTTGCTGCAGTTTGGGAAGATTGGCAAGGACACGTTCACCATGGACTACAGATACCCGCTTACTGCCTTCCAGGTGGGTGCTTCTTCTTTGAATGCTAGTGTGTATGGTTCGGAGCCCTGCCGGTGCTGCTGCTGCAGTTTGGCAAGATCGGAAAGGACACCTTTACCATGGACTACAGATACCCGCTTACGGCCTTCCAGGTGCGTAGTGCATGTGCCAAGTGCGTGCTGCTCTGTTTGGCTGAGGGTAGCTCATAGAGAGGAGCGGACCGGGGAACGACTCTGATAAGCCAGTGCTGCTGCAGTGTGGGAAGATTGGCAAGGACACTTTCACCATGGATAACAGATACCCGCTTACTGACTCCAGGTGGGTAGTGAAGTGCTGTTTCATGTGGTTAAAAATCGGTGCTCTGCCAGTGCTGCTGCTGCAGTTTGGCAAGATCGGCAAGGACACATTCACCATGGACTACAGATACCCGCTCACGGCCTTCCAGGTGGGTAGTGCTGCGTGTTCAGGGTGAGTTTCCTTTCAGGTATTGATACGCATGCAAGCCGGTGTTGCTGCAGTTGGGAAGATTGGCAAGGACACATTCACCATGGACTACAGATATCCACTCACGGCCTTCCAGGTAAGTGTGGACGGCCAGGTGTTTCCTCAGGTTTGTCTTTGGGTATCGTGTCAATACGCTTTCCCCATCTCCCGTCTCCCCGTGTTCTCTTCCCCTTGCCTTCTGGGCTGTTTTCTTTGTGCGTGCCCACATGTCACATGTCACATGTGCTTTCCTTGCTTCATATCACATGTCTGACGGATTGTTTTCTGCTTTGTATGTGTTCCCACGTCATGTGTGTTTTCCCTACATTATGCGTGCAGGCGTTTGCCATTTGCCTGAGCAGTTTCGATACCAAAGTGGCGTGCGAGTGATTCCATCATCACTTCCATCATCAGTTGAAAGCTTTTCAAGCTGTTGTTTTGTCGAGTCCAAAATCCACGTGCGAGCGAAATAGTGACACCGACGGCTTTTCGCGTTGCGTTCTAGATATGGTGTGGTGTGGTGTGGTACTGATGATGCGTGAAGAGGATTCCTCACTCAGGAACAACCAAGGGCAACAAATGAAAAAAAGACAGCGTGATGATATCTGGGAGACTGGAAAAGGGCATGTGCGTTGTGCTGATACAGCGGGTGGTGGTGGTGGTGTATTTTTTCTGCTTTGTGGTGCAATGCTGCGGATGAAAAGGTACTGGTAAGTTTCCTCTGGAGGAACGGGATTGTCTTTTGTGTACCTCGGATATGGGTTGGTTATTAAGGTTTGGACAATTGTGTTTAGGGACGGATGGTGATGACTGATTCAGGGATGTAGTCATGCTGGTGCCCTTGTTTGTTATTCCTGTACTCTTTGTATTGTAACGAAATTGTGGCTTATGTTTGTATCAGAGTAGAAGTTCACGGTACCTCCGTAGCTGAAGTGCATCTGCCCGTATCGGGTACAACCGGTTACCAGATTCCTCCTAAAGCTTGGACAATTGTCGGTTCAGCTGGTTCTACAACGGTCAATTTGATACCTAGGCTGGTTGGTTAGGGTATATCGGGACGCTGATTCAAATCTGACCGACTAATAAATGGGACGAGCAGTCGTGTGTGTTGGAGTGGTTCGCAGAACCACACTAACGACGGCGCTCATTATTCGGACCGACGACTAAGACGGACTGACGGTGGCGTGTTGACAGTGCCTTGGGAACTAGAGAGGAAACTACGACATTGCTTGGGAGTATGAGCTACGGCAAGAGAAGTATGGAAGGAAGACATTGACGAGGAGGAAGTGAGGAGAAAGTGATCGACGGGGGGAAATTGTGTGGGTCAACTGTGGCGTGTTCAGCAAGGAACCAAATGCGGACTTCAGGCGCGTTCGACGAAGGTGGAGAAAGGTTGCGTGTGCGACGCGGGGTGAAACGAGGCGCCACGTAACGTGTTGGACACGTTTTGTTACCTAGCCCATTTTGTACCTTGCTTGAACCTATATATTTGTTGTACCAGGTTGTTGAAGTAACACTTTGAAATTCTATCGCTTCAAACATTGTGTTCAATCCTGATTGGTCGAAACTTTGAGCATTTGATGAGACTCCCGTCAGATTCGCGTCAAACCTACGGAGAAGCCTTTGTGAAGGCTTAGACAAGCATTAGTGACGGAAATTTCAGCCGCGAGACTCCCGTCAAAGCCCTGCGAAGGGCCGAACCTGTTTCACTCGAGTGTAGGGCCCGCGAAAGCCCCGTGAAGGATCAGTGAAGACCACGCGAAGCAGAAATCGCCTCAGGATCGCGTCAGGGTTGAGTAAAGGCCTCGTCGAGGCCCCGTTAAGGCCGCGTAAGCCTCCCGTGAGGCGTTTCGCGACCAACACTGTGCTTCTACTTCGTTGCTGTGACATAGCCATTTCTACGAGCTTCACTAGAATCCAGTTTTCTACGAGCTTCGCTAGAATCCAGTTTTCCTCCGCTCGATCTGATTGGTCGACGGGTTCTCGTGGCGGATAGCCCTGGAGCTGACGTGGCAGGGGGTGGAGCTGTCGTGGCAGGGTCTGAGGGAGCCAAACCAGGGCAGGAAGGTTCTGAGAAGCAGACAAAGGCTGCAAGTGGGGGGGCGAGTGGGAGGCGAGGGGGAGGTAGAACTGGTGTAGGCAGTATCTTCCTGATGGGGGGCCAAGGAGACAAGGAGCAAGGAGAGAGGGGCCAGATCCCAACAATGAAGCGGGAAGTGGTTTCAGGGATAAAAGTGCTTATAAAGGGGGAAGGTGGGGGTGGGGGAGGTTCGGCAGCGGGTGGTTCGGGCCGAACCCGGCTCATGCCAAGCCCGAACCTCCCAATTGCAGCTCCCGTGTTTGTTAAACCAAGCAGTGCTAACAGTAGTACCAATGGTGCTAGTGGTACTGGTGGTGCTGCTGTTGCTGGTGGTGCTGCTGCTGGTGGTGCTAGTTCAAATGAGGCAACTGGGCAAGGCAAGAAGGGCGGTAAGGGGAAGAAGGGGCAGCAGGAGCAGCAGCACGTGAAGGAGCAGGAGAGTGACAGAAGGAGAGGTGCTTATAAGGAGGGCATGGCGAGGCTTCAGCATGATTCCCCACTGATGGAAGCTATGAGGGAGATAGAGGAGGAGGTGGGGGGGAGGAGCGGGGGGGGGCGGGAACAGAAGGACCCGCGACCGCTGCGTGGAGTGCTTCATTCGCCGCTCGCGCAAGACCGGCACGTTCACGCTGTTTCTGGGCGTGCCGCCGAATTCGACGGAGAACGGCAAGTTCCTGCTCGCGGCGCGCAAGTGCGGCTGGCGGCCGTCAAGGTAAGCGGATAGCCGACTGCTTTAAAAAATCGTTTGACCCTAAACCGGAGTTGGTGTTTGTGCTTGTAGCCCTATTCTGCCCGTTTAACAAACCCTTGTTTGTGCTGGTTACGCTAATGCCTTCGTTCGCTTCAAATCGCACACCTGAGTTTGTGTCTCGCAAATTCACGTTTGCATGGAAAAAGTGTTTGTGCTGGTCACCCTATTGTGTCCGTTTCGCTCTGTTTCGCAACTTTCGAAATCATTCCAGCATGGAGTACGTGGTCTCGCTGGATCCGAAAGACTTTTCGCGCGGCGGAAGTTCGTTCGTCGGTCGCCTGCGAGCGAATTTCCTAAGCACGCGATTTGCCGTCTTTGAATCGTCGCACGAGGTGAGCGATGAAACCTGAGTTCGTTCGCATCGCACAATGTTAGGAAGGTTACAGTTCTACAACCGACTTTTGAGTCGTCTTAGAATAGACTTTTTTCACACAATATTAAGAAGGTTACACTCCTTCAACCGAGGTGTTTTAGAGTTTGAGTAGTTAGGGGTAACTTGGATGTGAAGACTTCTAGAAGAAGCTTACGGCTCTTCAACCCGCACCCGTATTTGCTACAGTATTGGAGTTCTTCTTTCGTAGTGTATATTGTCTTGACGGATCCGCCGCAGCTACCATAGCGCTCGACACCCAGGGTGTAAGAAAGCTGTCGCGAATGCCATAGGCGAGAAAAATTGCACCCAGTAACGCAGTATTTATCTTCCAAGCCCAAAACTGTCGAAGCTCCTCTCGGCGTCCGTTAATTTGCGCCAATTTTACCGTTTCGCCTGCCCCCCCATTCCTCTCCCTCCCCTCCTCACCCTCACCCCCCCCCCCCCCCCCCCCCTCCGCCCTCCCGTCCCCCCCGCGCCGCATTTCCTGCGCATTTCCTCGTGCAGCCCGCGTTTTCTCTCGGCGCGGCGTCGCTGGCGCACGGCGGAAGCAGCAGCAGCAGCCGCAAGGTGCATCCCCGCGGAGCCGCTTTTTCCGCCAACGGTTACCACCACTGTAACCACTGTAGCAATCGGTGTGGTAACCACCATTGTGGTTACAACTGTGGCAGCAGCAGCACGGGCAGCAGAGGGGCCGGCACCCCTGTCGCGTGTAACGGTAACTTGGGCAGCTTTAACGGTTCCAGCTGTAGCGGCGCCAGCTGTAGCAGGGGTAGCGACGGGACAGGATTACTCGGCGCAGGTATTACCAGCAGTAGTGGCAGCGGCAGCGCCATTGGTGGTCGGGGCGATTGTAACGGCGCAAATGACGCTGACACGGCCACGTCAGCAGCGGTATCGTCAAGCCTCCGCGCACATTCCCCGCTTCCGCCTTCCCCCCCTTGCTCGAAGCTTCCCTCTTCCGCGCTGTCTTCCGCCTCTCCCGCCGCCCGTTCTTGCGCATACAGGCTCAGTGGGGGGAAGGGGGAGGGCGGGGGGATTGTGAGTGAGTTTGAGTGGGGAGGGGGGGAGAGAGAGGAGGTGACTGTAGAAGAAGTGACTGAAGGGAGAGTGGGAGGGCGGGAGGAAGAGGGGAAGGGAGAGAGAGGGGAGGGGAAGGCAGAGAGTGGAGAGAGGGGAGGTAGAGAGGGAGGAGGGGACGGGAGAGGAGAGGAGGAAGAACGAGACCGAGGAGAGGCAAGAGAAGGAGGAGAGGGAGGAGGAGGAGAGATTGCTGGTGAGGCTCACTGGGAGTGGAGAAGAGGAGGGGGAGGGCGAGAAGCAAGAATGCACAGCAGCGGAGGAAGCAAGGGAAGCGAGGGAAGCAAGGTCACCACCCACAATCTGCACAAGAGAGCCCTTGGTCTCGTTCCCAGAGAGTGGGGAAGAGATGGGTGCGGGAGAGAGAATGGGGAGCAGTGGTAAGGAGGAGAGCAATGAGCAGCAGAGCATGCGAGAGGAGGGTGTGGAAGCAGGGGGGCAGTGGGAGAAGAAGAGTCAAGAGGAGAGCAGTGCGGAGGACGGGAGTTTAGAGGAGGGGAATCAGCAGGAGGAGTGTGGGGATTGGCCGACAGACGGCGCGTGTGAGCAGCAGGAGAGCAGTGGAGAGGGAAGGAGTGAGCAGGAGGGCAATCAGGGTTGGTTGCAAGGCGGAGGTTTCCAGGTGGCTTTTGAGTCAACTCAAATCACGCAAGGCGGAGGTTTCCAGGAAAGCAGCGGCAGCGAAGGCCTTCATATCTCCCCCTTCCCCGCCTCCGCGGACCCCTTCCTTCCCCCTGCTGCCCTTGAGCTTCCCCCTGCCGCCCTGCCCTTGCCCCTGCCCCTGCCCCTGCCCCTGCCCCTGCCCTTGCCCACATTGGAACTAGAAGCGGCACTAACAGCAGCAGCAGCAGCAGCATCAGCAGCAACAGCAAGCGGAACGGCATGGTCAGAAGCAGCAGCAGCAAGAGCTGTGGCTTCACCAGAAGCAGCAGCAGCAAGAGCTGTGGCTTCACCAGAAGCAGCAGCAGCAGGTGCCAGAGCTGCGGCGGCTGTCACTCCCCCGTTCGCCTCCTCCTCTCTCCCCTCGGGTCCCTTGACTCCCCCATTCACCCCTTCCTCTCTCCCTGCTGCAGCTGCGACTCCCCCATTTGCTGCTTCGTCTGCCCCGTCTCCTGCCGCCCTTCCTGCTGCTCCTTCTGCTTCTGCTGCTCCTTCCCCTGCTGCTGCGCCTCCTGCTTTCAATGCAGAGGCAGATGCGGAGGGTGACACTGAGGGTGACTGTACGGAGTGTGACTGTGTGCGGTGCATCGGCCGAGCGCCTCTAGAGCCCATGGTGTTGCGGAACAAGCCACCCAGATGGCACGAGCAGCTGCAGGTATGTGTGTTTATTGGGGAATGAGGAGCGGTGCACAGCAGTACAGGGGAGTATTAAGCGGTGTTCGTATGGAAATAGATGAAGCCGAGCGCCCTTAGAGCCCATGGTGTTGCGGAACAAGCCTCCCAGATGGCACGAGCAGCTGCAGGTATGTGTGTGGGTGCTGGGGGGTGGGAAGCGGTGCACGGGAGTACAGGGTAGTTCAAGGGAGTATGAGGCCGAGCGCCTCTGGAGCCCATGGCGTTGCGGAACAAGTCTCGCAGATGGCACGAGCAGCTGCAGGTGAGGGGATACAAGGGGATATGGAGGAGTGCAAAGGAGTATAAGGGAGTATATGGGAGTATAGGGCAATATAAAGCTTTTTATCATGGGCCGAGCGCCCCTAGAGACTGTGGTATCGAGGAACAAGCCTCCCCGGTGGCACGCGCAGCTGCAGGTGTGTGTGTATTGAGGAAGGCAATTACAGATTAGAAAGCGAAATCTATCATGAAACATTGGGCCGAGCGCTCCCTCCCCTCCCCTCGCCTCCCCTCCTCGCCTTCCAGTGCTGGTGCCTCAACTTCAGAGGGCGAGTAACGGTTGCTTCGGTGAACAACTTCCAGCTGATAGAGGAGGGTGGGCCGGGGAGCATCTCAAATAAGGCCCTTCCAATCCTCCCTTGCATCCCCTTTTCCTGTCCATCCCATACACGCTTCCAGTGCTGGTGCCTCAACTTCAGGGGGCGAGTGACAGGGGGTGCTTCTGTGAAGAATTTCCAGCTGATAGAGGGGGGGGGGGGGCGGGGAACGACTCGGACAAGCCCCCTTCTCATCCCGCCCTTGCCTCCCCTTGCCTGCCCTCCCCCTCCCACACTGCCAGTGCTGGTGCTTGAACTTCAGGGGGCGAGTGACAGTGGCTTCAGTGAAGAACTTCCAGCTGATCGAGGGGGGCGGGCCGGGGAACGACTCTGACAAGCCGGTGCTGCTCCCCCCTTTCCCACCCCCTACCCGCCTCCCCTTTCCCGTACTCCCTTGCAGTGTTGGTGCCTCAACTTCCGTGGCCGCGTGACAGTAGCATCAGTGAAGAATTTTCAGCTGATAGAGGGGGGCGGGCCGGGGAACGACTCGGACAAGCCGGTGCTGCTGCAGTTCGGGAAGATTGACAAGGACGCTTTTACTATGGACTACAGATATCCACTCACGGCCTTCCAGGTGTGTTATTCTAGCACAAGTGCTGGTGTGTATGGTGCGGTGCCCTGAAGGTGTTGCTGCAGTTTGGGAAGATTGGCAAGGACACGTTCACCATGGACTACAGATACCCGCTTACTGCCTTCCAGGTGGGTGCTTCTTCTTTGAATGCTAGTGTGTATGGTTCGGAGCCCTGCCGGTGCTGCTGCTGCAGTTTGGCAAGATCGGAAAGGACACCTTTACCATGGACTACAGATACCCGCTTACGGCCTTCCAGGTGCGTAGTGCATGTGCCAAGTGCGTGCTGCTCTGTTTGGCTGAGGGTAGCTCATAGAGAGGAGCGGACCGGGGAACGACTCTGATAAGCCAGTGCTGCTGCAGTGTGGGAAGATTGGCAAGGACACTTTCACCATGGATAACAGATACCCGCTTACTGACTCCAGGTGGGTAGTGAAGTGCTGTTTCATGTGGTTAAAAATCGGTGCTCTGCCAGTGCTGCTGCTGCAGTTTGGCAAGATCGGCAAGGACACATTCACCATGGACTACAGATACCCGCTCACGGCCTTCCAGGTGGGTAGTGCTGCGTGTTCAGGGTGAGTTTCCTTTCAGGTATTGATACGCATGCAAGCCGGTGTTGCTGCAGTTGGGAAGATTGGCAAGGACACATTCACCATGGACTACAGATATCCACTCACGGCCTTCCAGGTAAGTGTGGACGGCCAGGTGTTTCCTCAGGTTTGTCTTTGGGTATCGTGTCAATACGCTTTCCCCATCTCCCGTCTCCCCGTGTTCTCTTCCCCTTGCCTTCTGGGCTGTTTTCTTTGTGCGTGCCCACATGTCACATGTCACATGTGCTTTCCTTGCTTCATATCACATGTCTGACGGATTGTTTTCTGCTTTGTATGTGTTCCCACGTCATGTGTGTTTTCCCTACATTATGCGTGCAGGCGTTTGCCATTTGCCTGAGCAGTTTCGATACCAAAGTGGCGTGCGAGTGATTCCATCATCACTTCCATCATCAGTTGAAAGCTTTTCAAGCTGTTGTTTTGTCGAGTCCAAAATCCACGTGCGAGCGAAATAGTGACACCGACGGCTTTTCGCGTTGCGTTCTAGATATGGTGTGGTGTGGTGTGGTACTGATGATGCGTGAAGAGGATTCCTCACTCAGGAACAACCAAGGGCAACAAATGAAAAAAAGACAGCGTGATGATATCTGGGAGACTGGAAAAGGGCATGTGCGTTGTGCTGATACAGCGGGTGGTGGTGGTGGTGTATTTTTTCTGCTTTGTGGTGCAATGCTGCGGATGAAAAGGTACTGGTAAGTTTCCTCTGGAGGAACGGGATTGTCTTTTGTGTACCTCGGATATGGGTTGGTTATTAAGGTTTGGACAATTGTGTTTAGGGACGGATGGTGATGACTGATTCAGGGATGTAGTCATGCTGGTGCCCTTGTTTGTTATTCCTGTACTCTTTGTATTGTAACGAAATTGTGGCTTATGTTTGTATCAGAGTAGAAGTTCACGGTACCTCCTGTAGCTGAAGTGCATCTGCCCGTATCGGGTACAACCGGTTACCAGATTCCTCCTAAAGCTTGGACAATTGTCGGTTCAGCTGGTTCTACAACGGTCAATTTGATACCTAGGCTGGTTGGTTAGGGTATATCGGGACGCTGATTCAAATCTGACCGACTAATAAATGGGACGAGCAGTCGTGTGTGTTGGAGTGGTTCGCAGAACCACACTAACGACGGCGCTCATTATTCGGACCGACGACTAAGACGGACTGACGGTGGCGTGTTGACAGTGCCTTGGGAACTAGAGAGGAAACTACGACATTGCTTGGGAGTATGAGCTACGGCAAGAGAAGTATGGAAGGAAGACATTGACGAGGAGGAAGTGAGGAGAAAGTGATCGACGGGGGGAAATTGTGTGGGTCAACTGTGGCGTGTTCAGCAAGGAACCAAATGCGGACTTCAGGCGCGTTCGACGAAGGTGGAGAAAGGTTGCGTGTGCGACGCGGGGTGAAACGAGGCGCCACGTAACGTGTTGGACACGTTTTGTTACCTAGCCCATTTTGTACCTTGCTTGAACCTATATATTTGTTGTACCAGGTTGTTGAAGTAACACTTTGAAATTCTATCGCTTCAAACATTGTGTTCAATCCTGATTGGTCGAAACTTTGAGCATTTGATGAGACTCCCGTCAGATTCGCGTCAAACCTACGGAGAAGCCTTTGTGAAGGCTTAGACAAGCATTAGTGACGGAAATTTCAGCCGCGAGACTCCCGTCAAAGCCCTGCGAAGGGCCGAACCTGTTTCACTCGAGTGTAGGGCCCGCGAAAGCCCCGTGAAGGATCAGTGAAGACCACGCGAAGCAGAAATCGCCTCAGGATCGCGTCAGGGTTGAGTAAAGGCCTCGTCGAGGCCCCGTTAAGGCCGCGTAAGCCTCCCGTGAGGCGTTTCGCGACCAACACTGTGCTTCTACTTCGTTGCTGTGACATAGCCATTTCTACGAGCTTCACTAGAATCCAGTTTTCTACGAGCTTCGCTAGAATCCAGTTTTCCTCCGCTCGATCTGATTGGTCGACGGGTTCTCGTGGCGGATAGCCCTGGAGCTGACGTGGCAGGGGGTGGAGCTGTCGTGGCAGGGTCTGAGGGAGCCAAACCAGGGCAGGAAGGTTCTGAGAAGCAGACAAAGGCTGCAAGTGGGGGGGCGAGTGGGAGGCGAGGGGGAGGTAGAACTGGTGTAGGCAGTATCTTCCTGATGGGGGGCCAAGGAGACAAGGAGCAAGGAGAGAGGGGCCAGATCCCAACAATGAAGCGGGAAGTGGTTTCAGGGATAAAAGTGCTTATAAAGGGGGAAGGTGGGGGTGGGGGAGGTTCGGCAGCGGGTGGTTCGGGCCGAACCCGGCTCATGCCAAGCCCGAACCTCCCAATTGCAGCTCCCGTGTTTGTTAAACCAAGCAGTGCTAACAGTAGTACCAATGGTGCTAGTGGTACTGGTGGTGCTGCTGTTGCTGGTGGTGCTGCTGCTGGTGGTGCTAGTTCAAATGAGGCAACTGGGCAAGGCAAGAAGGGCGGTAAGGGGAAGAAGGGGCAGCAGGAGCAGCAGCACGTGAAGGAGCAGGAGAGTGACAGAAGGAGAGGTGCTTATAAGGAGGGCATGGCGAGGCTTCAGCATGATTCCCCACTGATGGAAGCTATGAGGGAGATAGAGGAGGAGGTGGGGGGGAGGAGCGGGGGGGGCGGGAACAGAAGGACCCGCGACCGCTGCGTGGAGTGCTTCATTCGCCGCTCGCGCAAGACCGGCACGTTCACGCTGTTTCTGGGCGTGCCGCCGAATTCGACGGAGAACGGCAAGTTCCTGCTCGCGGCGCGCAAGTGCGGCTGGCGGCCGTCAAGGTAAGCGGATAGCCGACTGCTTTAAAAAATCGTTTGACCCTAAACCGGAGTTGGTGTTTGTGCTTGTAGCCCTATTCTGCCCGTTTAACAAACCCTTGTTTGTGCTGGTTACGCTAATGCCTTCGTTCGCTTCAAATCGCACACCTGAGTTTGTGTCTCGCAAATTCACGTTTGCATGGAAAAAGTGTTTGTGCTGGTCACCCTATTGTGTCCGTTTCGCTCTGTTTCGCAACTTTCGAAATCATTCCAGCATGGAGTACGTGGTCTCGCTGGATCCGAAAGACTTTTCGCGCGGCGGAAGTTCGTTCGTCGGTCGCCTGCGAGCGAATTTCCTAAGCACGCGATTTGCCGTCTTTGAATCGTCGCACGAGGTGAGCGATGAAACCTGAGTTCGTTCGCATCGCACAATGTTAGGAAGGTTACAGTTCTACAACCGACTTTTGAGTCGTCTTAGAATAGACTTTTTTCACACAATATTAAGAAGGTTACACTCCTTCAACCGAGGTGTTTTAGAGTTTGAGTAGTTAGGGGTAACTTGGATGTGAAGACTTCTAGAAGAAGCTTACGGCTCTTCAACCCGCACCCGTATTTGCTACAGTATTGGAGTTCTTCTTTCGTAGTGTATATTGTCTTGACGGATCCGCCGCAGCTACCATAGCGCTCGACACCCAGGGTGTAAGAAAGCTGTCGCGAATGCCATAGGCGAGAAAAATTGCACCCAGTAACGCAGTATTTATCTTCCAAGCCCAAAACTGTCGAAGCTCCTCTCGGCGTCCGTTAATTTGCGCCAATTTTACCGTTTCGCCTGCCCCCCCATTCCTCTCCCTCCCCTCCTCACCCTCACCCCCCCCCCCCCCCCCCCCCCTCCGCCCTCCCGTCCCCCCCGCGCCGCATTTCCTGCGCATTTCCTCGTGCAGCCCGCGTTTTCTCTCGGCGCGGCGTCGCTGGCGCACGGCGGAAGCAGCAGCAGCAGCCGCAAGGTGCATCCCCGCGGAGCCGCTTTTTCCGCCAACGGTTACCACCACTGTAACCACTGTAGCAATCGGTGTGGTAACCACCATTGTGGTTACAACTGTGGCAGCAGCAGCACGGGCAGCAGAGGGGCCGGCACCCCTGTCGCGTGTAACGGTAACTTGGGCAGCTTTAACGGTTCCAGCTGTAGCGGCGCCAGCTGTAGCAGGGGTAGCGACGGGACAGGATTACTCGGCGCAGGTATTACCAGCAGTAGTGGCAGCGGCAGCGCCATTGGTGGTCGGGGCGATTGTAACGGCGCAAATGACGCTGACACGGCCACGTCAGCAGCGGTATCGTCAAGCCTCCGCGCACATTCCCCGCTTCCGCCTTCCCCCCTTGCTCGAAGCTTCCCTCTTCCGCGCTGTCTTCCGCCTCTCCCGCCGCCCGTTCTTGCGCATACAGGCTCAGTGGGGGGAAGGGGGAGGCGGGGGGGATTGTGAGTGAGTTTGAGTGGGGAGGGGGGGAGAGAGAGGAGGTGACTGTAGAAGAAGTGACTGAAGGGAGAGTGGGAGGGCGGGAGGAAGAGGGGAAGGGAGAGAGAGGGGAGGGGAAGAGAGTGGAGAGAGGGGAGGTAGAGAGGGAGGAGGGGACGGGAGAGGAGAGGAGGAAGAACGAGACCGAGGAGAGGCAAGAGAAGGAGGAGAGGGAGGAGGAGGAGAGATTGCTGGTGAGGCTCACTGGGAGTGGAGAAGAGGAGGGGGAGGGCGAGAAGCAAGAATGCACAGCAGCGGAGGAAGCAAGGGAAGCGAGGGAAGCAAGGTCACCACCCACAATCTGCACAAGAGAGCCCTTGGTCTCGTTCCCAGAGAGTGGGGAAGAGATGGGTGCGGGAGAGAGAATGGGGAGCAGTGGTAAGGAGGAGAGCAATGAGCAGCAGAGCATGCGAGAGGAGGGTGTGGAAGCAGGGGGGCAGTGGGAGAAGAAGAGTCAAGAGGAGAGCAGTCCGGAGGACGGGAGTTTAGAGGAGGGGAATCAGCAGGAGGAGTGTGGGGATTGGCCGACAGACGGCGCGTGTGAGCAGCAGGAGAGCAGTGGAGAGGGAAGGAGTGAGCAGGAGGGCAATCAGGGTTGGTTGCAAGGCGGAGGTTTCCAGGTGGCTTTTGAGTCAACTCAAATCACGCAAGGCGGAGGTTTCCAGGAAAGCAGCGGCAGCGAAGGCCTTCATATCTCCCCCTTCCCCGCCTCCGCGGACCCCTTCCTTCCCCCTGCTGCCCTTGAGCTTCCCCCTGCCGCCCTGCCCTTGCCCCTGCCCCTGCCCCTGCCCCTGCCCCTGCCCCTGCCCCTGCCCTTGCCCACATTGGAACTAGAAGCGGCACTAACAGCAGCAGCAGCAGCAGCAGCATCAGCAGCAACAGCAAGCGGAACGGCATGGTCAGAAGCAGCAGCAGCAAGAGCTGTGGCTTCACCAGAAGCAGCAGCAGCAAGAGCTGTGGCTTCACCAGAAGCAGCAGCAGCAGGTGCCAGAGCTGCGGCGGCTGTCACTCCCCCGTTCGCCTCCTCCTCTCTCCCCTCGGGTCCCTTGACTCCCCCATTCACCCCTTCCTCTCTCCCTGCTGCAGCTGCGACTCCCCCATTTGCTGCTTCGTCTGCCCCGTCTCCTGCCGCCCTTCCTGCTGCTCCTTCTGCTTCTGCTGCTCCTTCCCCTGCTGCTGCGCCTCCTGCTTTCAATGCAGAGGCAGATGCGGAGGGTGACACTGAGGGTGACTGTACGGAGTGTGACTGTGTGCGGTGCATCGGCCGAGCGCCTCTAGAGCCCATGGTGTTGCGGAACAAGCCACCCAGATGGCACGAGCAGCTGCAGGTATGTGTGTTTATTGGGGAATGAGGAGCGGTGCACAGCAGTACAGGGGAGTATTAAGCGGTGTTCGTATGGAAATAGATGAAGCCGAGCGCCCTTAGAGCCCATGGTGTTGCGGAACAAGCCTCCCAGATGGCACGAGCAGCTGCAGGTATGTGTGTGGGTGCTGGGGGGTGGGAAGCGGTGCACGGGAGTACAGGGTAGTTCAAGGGAGTATGAGGCCGAGCGCCTCTGGAGCCCATGGCGTTGCGGAACAAGTCTCGCAGATGGCACGAGCAGCTGCAGGTGAGGGGATACAAGGGGATATGGAGGAGTGCAAAGGAGTATAAGGGAGTATATGGGAGTATAGGGCAATATAAAGCTTTTTATCATGGGCCGAGCGCCCCTAGAGACTGTGGTATCGAGGAACAAGCCTCCCCGGTGGCACGCGCAGCTGCAGGTGTGTGTGTATTGAGGAAGGCAATTACAGATTAGAAAGCGAAATCTATCATGAAACATTGGGCCGAGCGCTCCCTCCCCTCCCCTCGCCTCCCCTCCTCGCCTTCCAGTGCTGGTGCCTCAACTTCAGAGGGCGAGTAACGGTTGCTTCGGTGAACAACTTCCAGCTGATAGAGGAGGGTGGGCCGGGGAGCATCTCAAATAAGGCCCTTCCAATCCTCCCTTGCATCCCCTTTTCCTGTCCATCCCATACACGCTTCCAGTGCTGGTGCCTCAACTTCAGGGGGCGAGTGACAGGGGGTGCTTCTGTGAAGAATTTCCAGCTGATAGAGGGGGGGGGGGGGCGGGGAACGACTCGGACAAGCCCCCTTCTCATCCCGCCCTTGCCTCCCCTTGCCTGCCCTCCCCCTCCCACACTGCCAGTGCTGGTGCTTGAACTTCAGGGGGCGAGTGACAGTGGCTTCAGTGAAGAACTTCCAGCTGATCGAGGGGGGCGGGCCGGGGAACGACTCTGACAAGCCGGTGCTGCTCCCCCCTTTCCCACCCCCTACCCGCCTCCCCTTTCCCGTACTCCCTTGCAGTGTTGGTGCCTCAACTTCCGTGGCCGCGTGACAGTAGCATCAGTGAAGAATTTTCAGCTGATAGAGGGGGGCGGGCCGGGGAACGACTCGGACAAGCCGGTGCTGCTGCAGTTCGGGAAGATTGACAAGGACGCTTTTACTATGGACTACAGATATCCACTCACGGCCTTCCAGGTGTGTTATTCTAGCACAAGTGCTGGTGTGTATGGTGCGGTGCCCTGAAGGTGTTGCTGCAGTTTGGGAAGATTGGCAAGGACACGTTCACCATGGACTACAGATACCCGCTTACTGCCTTCCAGGTGGGTGCTTCTTCTTTGAATGCTAGTGTGTATGGTTCGGAGCCCTGCCGGTGCTGCTGCTGCAGTTTGGCAAGATCGGAAAGGACACCTTTACCATGGACTACAGATACCCGCTTACGGCCTTCCAGGTGCGTAGTGCATGTGCCAAGTGCGTGCTGCTCTGTTTGGCTGAGGGTAGCTCATAGAGAGGAGCGGACCGGGGAACGACTCTGATAAGCCAGTGCTGCTGCAGTGTGGGAAGATTGGCAAGGACACTTTCACCATGGATAACAGATACCCGCTTACTGACTCCAGGTGGGTAGTGAAGTGCTGTTTCATGTGGTTAAAAATCGGTGCTCTGCCAGTGCTGCTGCTGCAGTTTGGCAAGATCGGCAAGGACACATTCACCATGGACTACAGATACCCGCTCACGGCCTTCCAGGTGGGTAGTGCTGCGTGTTCAGGGTGAGTTTCCTTTCAGGTATTGATACGCATGCAAGCCGGTGTTGCTGCAGTTGGGAAGATTGGCAAGGACACATTCACCATGGACTACAGATATCCACTCACGGCCTTCCAGGTAAGTGTGGACGGCCAGGTGTTTCCTCAGGTTTGTCTTTGGGTATCGTGTCAATACGCTTTCCCCATCTCCCGTCTCCCCGTGTTCTCTTCCCCTTGCCTTCTGGGCTGTTTTCTTTGTGCGTGCCCACATGTCACATGTCACATGTGCTTTCCTTGCTTCATATCACATGTCTGACGGATTGTTTTCTGCTTTGTATGTGTTCCCACGTCATGTGTGTTTTCCCTACATTATGCGTGCAGGCGTTTGCCATTTGCCTGAGCAGTTTCGATACCAAAGTGGCGTGCGAGTGATTCCATCATCACTTCCATCATCAGTTGAAAGCTTTTCAAGCTGTTGTTTTGTCGAGTCCAAAATCCACGTGCGAGCGAAATAGTGACACCGACGGCTTTTCGCGTTGCGTTCTAGATATGGTGTGGTGTGGTGTGGTACTGATGATGCGTGAAGAGGATTCCTCACTCAGGAACAACCAAGGGCAACAAATGAAAAAAAGACAGCGTGATGATATCTGGGAGACTGGAAAAGGGCATGTGCGTTGTGCTGATACAGCGGGTGGTGGTGGTGGTGTATTTTTTCTGCTTTGTGGTGCAATGCTGCGGATGAAAAGGTACTGGTAAGTTTCCTCTGGAGGAACGGGATTGTCTTTTGTGTACCTCGGATATGGGTTGGTTATTAAGGTTTGGACAATTGTGTTTAGGGACGGATGGTGATGACTGATTCAGGGATGTAGTCATGCTGGTGCCCTTGTTTGTTATTCCTGTACTCTTTGTATTGTAACGAAATTGTGGCTTATGTTTGTATCAGAGTAGAAGTTCACGGTACCTCTGTAGCTGAAGTGCATCTGCCCGTATCGGGTACAACCGGTTACCAGATTCCTCCTAAAGCTTGGACAATTGTCGGTTCAGCTGGTTCTACAACGGTCAATTTGATACCTAGGCTGGTTGGTTAGGGTATATCGGGACGCTGATTCAAATCTGACCGACTAATAAATGGGACGAGCAGTCGTGTGTGTTGGAGTGGTTCGCAGAACCACACTAACGACGGCGCTCATTATTCGGACCGACGACTAAGACGGACTGACGGTGGCGTGTTGACAGTGCCTTGGGAACTAGAGAGGAAACTACGACATTGCTTGGGAGTATGAGCTACGGCAAGAGAAGTATGGAAGGAAGACATTGACGAGGAGGAAGTGAGGAGAAAGTGATCGACGGGGGGAAATTGTGTGGGTCAACTGTGGCGTGTTCAGCAAGGAACCAAATGCGGACTTCAGGCGCGTTCGACGAAGGTGGAGAAAGGTTGCGTGTGCGACGCGGGGTGAAACGAGGCGCCACGTAACGTGTTGGACACGTTTTGTTACCTAGCCCATTTTGTACCTTGCTTGAACCTATATATTTGTTGTACCAGGTTGTTGAAGTAACACTTTGAAATTCTATCGCTTCAAACATTGTGTTCAATCCTGATTGGTCGAAACTTTGAGCATTTGATGAGACTCCCGTCAGATTCGCGTCAAACCTACGGAGAAGCCTTTGTGAAGGCTTAGACAAGCATTAGTGACGGAAATTTCAGCCGCGAGACTCCCGTCAAAGCCCTGCGAAGGGCCGAACCTGTTTCACTCGAGTGTAGGGCCCGCGAAAGCCCCGTGAAGGATCAGTGAAGACCACGCGAAGCAGAAATCGCCTCAGGATCGCGTCAGGGTTGAGTAAAGGCCTCGTCGAGGCCCCGTTAAGGCCGCGTAAGCCTCCCGTGAGGCGTTTCGCGACCAACACTGTGCTTCTACTTCGTTGCTGTGACATAGCCATTTCTACGAGCTTCACTAGAATCCAGTTTTCTACGAGCTTCGCTAGAATCCAGTTTTCCTCCGCTCGATCTGATTGGTCGACGGGTTCTCGTGGCGGATAGCCCTGGAGCTGACGTGGCAGGGGGTGGAGCTGTCGTGGCAGGGTCTGAGGGAGCCAAACCAGGGCAGGAAGGTTCTGAGAAGCAGACAAAGGCTGCAAGTGGGGGGGCGAGTGGGAGGCGAGGGGGAGGTAGAACTGGTGTAGGCAGTATCTTCCTGATGGGGGGCCAAGGAGACAAGGAGCAAGGAGAGAGGGGCCAGATCCCAACAATGAAGCGGGAAGTGGTTTCAGGGATAAAAGTGCTTATAAAGGGGGAAGGTGGGGGTGGGGGAGGTTCGGCAGCGGGTGGTTCGGGCCGAACCCGGCTCATGCCAAGCCCGAACCTCCCAATTGCAGCTCCCGTGTTTGTTAAACCAAGCAGTGCTAACAGTAGTACCAATGGTGCTAGTGGTACTGGTGGTGCTGCTGTTGCTGGTGGTGCTGCTGCTGGTGGTGCTAGTTCAAATGAGGCAACTGGGCAAGGCAAGAAGGGCGGTAAGGGGAAGAAGGGGCAGCAGGAGCAGCAGCACGTGAAGGAGCAGGAGAGTGACAGAAGGAGAGGTGCTTATAAGGAGGGCATGGCGAGGCTTCAGCATGATTCCCCACTGATGGAAGCTATGAGGGAGATAGAGGAGGAGGTGGGGGGGAGGAGCGGGGGGGGCGGGAACAGAAGGACCCGCGACCGCTGCGTGGAGTGCTTCATTCGCCGCTCGCGCAAGACCGGCACGTTCACGCTGTTTCTGGGCGTGCCGCCGAATTCGACGGAGAACGGCAAGTTCCTGCTCGCGGCGCGCAAGTGCGGCTGGCGGCCGTCAAGGTAAGCGGATAGCCGACTGCTTTAAAAAATCGTTTGACCCTAAACCGGAGTTGGTGTTTGTGCTTGTAGCCCTATTCTGCCCGTTTAACAAACCCTTGTTTGTGCTGGTTACGCTAATGCCTTCGTTCGCTTCAAATCGCACACCTGAGTTTGTGTCTCGCAAATTCACGTTTGCATGGAAAAAGTGTTTGTGCTGGTCACCCTATTGTGTCCGTTTCGCTCTGTTTCGCAACTTTCGAAATCATTCCAGCATGGAGTACGTGGTCTCGCTGGATCCGAAAGACTTTTCGCGCGGCGGAAGTTCGTTCGTCGGTCGCCTGCGAGCGAATTTCCTAAGCACGCGATTTGCCGTCTTTGAATCGTCGCACGAGGTGAGCGATGAAACCTGAGTTCGTTCGCATCGCACAATGTTAGGAAGGTTACAGTTCTACAACCGACTTTTGAGTCGTCTTAGAATAGACTTTTTTCACACAATATTAAGAAGGTTACACTCCTTCAACCGAGGTGTTTTAGAGTTTGAGTAGTTAGGGGTAACTTGGATGTGAAGACTTCTAGAAGAAGCTTACGGCTCTTCAACCCGCACCCGTATTTGCTACAGTATTGGAGTTCTTCTTTCGTAGTGTATATTGTCTTGACGGATCCGCCGCAGCTACCATAGCGCTCGACACCCAGGGTGTAAGAAAGCTGTCGCGAATGCCATAGGCGAGAAAAATTGCACCCAGTAACGCAGTATTTATCTTCCAAGCCCAAAACTGTCGAAGCTCCTCTCGGCGTCCGTTAATTTGCGCCAATTTTACCGTTTCGCCTGCCCCCCCATTCCTCTCCCTCCCCTCCTCACCCTCACCCCCCCCCCCCCCCCCCCCCCCCTCCGCCCTCCCGTCCCCCCCGCGCCGCATTTCCTGCGCATTTCCTCGTGCAGCCCGCGTTTTCTCTCGGCGCGGCGTCGCTGGCGCACGGCGGAAGCAGCAGCAGCAGCCGCAAGGTGCATCCCCGCGGAGCCGCTTTTTCCGCCAACGGTTACCACCACTGTAACCACTGTAGCAATCGGTGTGGTAACCACCATTGTGGTTACAACTGTGGCAGCAGCAGCACGGGCAGCAGAGGGGCCGGCACCCCTGTCGCGTGTAACGGTAACTTGGGCAGCTTTAACGGTTCCAGCTGTAGCGGCGCCAGCTGTAGCAGGGGTAGCGACGGGACAGGATTACTCGGCGCAGGTATTACCAGCAGTAGTGGCAGCGGCAGCGCCATTGGTGGTCGGGGCGATTGTAACGGCGCAAATGACGCTGACACGGCCACGTCAGCAGCGGTATCGTCAAGCCTCCGCGCACATTCCCCGCTTCCGCCTTCCCCCCTTGCTCGAAGCTTCCCTCTTCCGCGCTGTCTTCCGCCTCTCCCGCCGCCCGTTCTTGCGCATACAGGCTCAGTGGGGGGAAGGGGGAGGCGGGGGGGATTGTGAGTGAGTTTGAGTGGGGAGGGGGGGAGAGAGAGGAGGTGACTGTAGAAGAAGTGACTGAAGGGAGAGTGGGAGGGCGGGAGGAAGAGGGGAAGGGAGAGAGAGGGGAGGGGAAGAGAGTGGAGAGAGGGGAGGTAGAGAGGGAGGAGGGGACGGGAGAGGAGAGGAGGAAGAACGAGACCGAGGAGAGGCAAGAGAAGGAGGAGAGGGAGGAGGAGGAGAGATTGCTGGTGAGGCTCACTGGGAGTGGAGAAGAGGAGGGGGAGGGCGAGAAGCAAGAATGCACAGCAGCGGAGGAAGCAAGGGAAGCGAGGGAAGCAAGGTCACCACCCACAATCTGCACAAGAGAGCCCTTGGTCTCGTTCCCAGAGAGTGGGGAAGAGATGGGTGCGGGAGAGAGAATGGGGAGCAGTGGTAAGGAGGAGAGCAATGAGCAGCAGAGCATGCGAGAGGAGGGTGTGGAAGCAGGGGGGCAGTGGGAGAAGAAGAGTCAAGAGGAGAGCAGTCCGGAGGACGGGAGTTTAGAGGAGGGGAATCAGCAGGAGGAGTGTGGGGATTGGCCGACAGACGGCGCGTGTGAGCAGCAGGAGAGCAGTGGAGAGGGAAGGAGTGAGCAGGAGGGCAATCAGGGTTGGTTGCAAGGCGGAGGTTTCCAGGTGGCTTTTGAGTCAACTCAAATCACGCAAGGCGGAGGTTTCCAGGAAAGCAGCGGCAGCGAAGGCCTTCATATCTCCCCCTTCCCCGCCTCCGCGGACCCCTTCCTTCCCCCTGCTGCCCTTGAGCTTCCCCCTGCCGCCCTGCCCTTGCCCCTGCCCCTGCCCCTGCCCCTGCCCCTGCCCCTGCCCCTGCCCTTGCCCACATTGGAACTAGAAGCGGCACTAACAGCAGCAGCAGCAGCAGCAGCATCAGCAGCAACAGCAAGCGGAACGGCATGGTCAGAAGCAGCAGCAGCAAGAGCTGTGGCTTCACCAGAAGCAGCAGCAGCAAGAGCTGTGGCTTCACCAGAAGCAGCAGCAGCAGGTGCCAGAGCTGCGGCGGCTGTCACTCCCCCGTTCGCCTCCTCCTCTCTCCCCTCGGGTCCCTTGACTCCCCCATTCACCCCTTCCTCTCTCCCTGCTGCAGCTGCGACTCCCCCATTTGCTGCTTCGTCTGCCCCGTCTCCTGCCGCCCTTCCTGCTGCTCCTTCTGCTTCTGCTGCTCCTTCCCCTGCTGCTGCGCCTCCTGCTTTCAATGCAGAGGCAGATGCGGAGGGTGACACTGAGGGTGACTGTACGGAGTGTGACTGTGTGCGGTGCATCGGCCGAGCGCCTCTAGAGCCCATGGTGTTGCGGAACAAGCCACCCAGATGGCACGAGCAGCTGCAGGTATGTGTGTTTATTGGGGAATGAGGAGCGGTGCACAGCAGTACAGGGGAGTATTAAGCGGTGTTCGTATGGAAATAGATGAAGCCGAGCGCCCTTAGAGCCCATGGTGTTGCGGAACAAGCCTCCCAGATGGCACGAGCAGCTGCAGGTATGTGTGTGGGTGCTGGGGGGTGGGAAGCGGTGCACGGGAGTACAGGGTAGTTCAAGGGAGTATGAGGCCGAGCGCCTCTGGAGCCCATGGCGTTGCGGAACAAGTCTCGCAGATGGCACGAGCAGCTGCAGGTGAGGGGATACAAGGGGATATGGAGGAGTGCAAAGGAGTATAAGGGAGTATATGGGAGTATAGGGCAATATAAAGCTTTTTATCATGGGCCGAGCGCCCCTAGAGACTGTGGTATCGAGGAACAAGCCTCCCCGGTGGCACGCGCAGCTGCAGGTGTGTGTGTATTGAGGAAGGCAATTACAGATTAGAAAGCGAAATCTATCATGAAACATTGGGCCGAGCGCTCCCTCCCCTCCCCTCGCCTCCCCTCCTCGCCTTCCAGTGCTGGTGCCTCAACTTCAGAGGGCGAGTAACGGTTGCTTCGGTGAACAACTTCCAGCTGATAGAGGAGGGTGGGCCGGGGAGCATCTCAAATAAGGCCCTTCCAATCCTCCCTTGCATCCCCTTTTCCTGTCCATCCCATACACGCTTCCAGTGCTGGTGCCTCAACTTCAGGGGGCGAGTGACAGGGGGTGCTTCTGTGAAGAATTTCCAGCTGATAGAGGGGGGGGGGGGGGCGGGGAACGACTCGGACAAGCCCCCTTCTCATCCCGCCCTTGCCTCCCCTTGCCTGCCCTCCCCCTCCCACACTGCCAGTGCTGGTGCTTGAACTTCAGGGGGCGAGTGACAGTGGCTTCAGTGAAGAACTTCCAGCTGATCGAGGGGGGCGGGCCGGGGAACGACTCTGACAAGCCGGTGCTGCTCCCCCCTTTCCCACCCCCTACCCGCCTCCCCTTTCCCGTACTCCCTTGCAGTGTTGGTGCCTCAACTTCCGTGGCCGCGTGACAGTAGCATCAGTGAAGAATTTTCAGCTGATAGAGGGGGGCGGGCCGGGGAACGACTCGGACAAGCCGGTGCTGCTGCAGTTCGGGAAGATTGACAAGGACGCTTTTACTATGGACTACAGATATCCACTCACGGCCTTCCAGGTGTGTTATTCTAGCACAAGTGCTGGTGTGTATGGTGCGGTGCCCTGAAGGTGTTGCTGCAGTTTGGGAAGATTGGCAAGGACACGTTCACCATGGACTACAGATACCCGCTTACTGCCTTCCAGGTGGGTGCTTCTTCTTTGAATGCTAGTGTGTATGGTTCGGAGCCCTGCCGGTGCTGCTGCTGCAGTTTGGCAAGATCGGAAAGGACACCTTTACCATGGACTACAGATACCCGCTTACGGCCTTCCAGGTGCGTAGTGCATGTGCCAAGTGCGTGCTGCTCTGTTTGGCTGAGGGTAGCTCATAGAGAGGAGCGGACCGGGGAACGACTCTGATAAGCCAGTGCTGCTGCAGTGTGGGAAGATTGGCAAGGACACTTTCACCATGGATAACAGATACCCGCTTACTGACTCCAGGTGGGTAGTGAAGTGCTGTTTCATGTGGTTAAAAATCGGTGCTCTGCCAGTGCTGCTGCTGCAGTTTGGCAAGATCGGCAAGGACACATTCACCATGGACTACAGATACCCGCTCACGGCCTTCCAGGTGGGTAGTGCTGCGTGTTCAGGGTGAGTTTCCTTTCAGGTATTGATACGCATGCAAGCCGGTGTTGCTGCAGTTGGGAAGATTGGCAAGGACACATTCACCATGGACTACAGATATCCACTCACGGCCTTCCAGGTAAGTGTGGACGGCCAGGTGTTTCCTCAGGTTTGTCTTTGGGTATCGTGTCAATACGCTTTCCCCATCTCCCGTCTCCCCGTGTTCTCTTCCCCTTGCCTTCTGGGCTGTTTTCTTTGTGCGTGCCCACATGTCACATGTCACATGTGCTTTCCTTGCTTCATATCACATGTCTGACGGATTGTTTTCTGCTTTGTATGTGTTCCCACGTCATGTGTGTTTTCCCTACATTATGCGTGCAGGCGTTTGCCATTTGCCTGAGCAGTTTCGATACCAAAGTGGCGTGCGAGTGATTCCATCATCACTTCCATCATCAGTTGAAAGCTTTTCAAGCTGTTGTTTTGTCGAGTCCAAAATCCACGTGCGAGCGAAATAGTGACACCGACGGCTTTTCGCGTTGCGTTCTAGATATGGTGTGGTGTGGTGTGGTACTGATGATGCGTGAAGAGGATTCCTCACTCAGGAACAACCAAGGGCAACAAATGAAAAAAAGACAGCGTGATGATATCTGGGAGACTGGAAAAGGGCATGTGCGTTGTGCTGATACAGCGGGTGGTGGTGGTGGTGTATTTTTTCTGCTTTGTGGTGCAATGCTGCGGATGAAAAGGTACTGGTAAGTTTCCTCTGGAGGAACGGGATTGTCTTTTGTGTACCTCGGATATGGGTTGGTTATTAAGGTTTGGACAATTGTGTTTAGGGACGGATGGTGATGACTGATTCAGGGATGTAGTCATGCTGGTGCCCTTGTTTGTTATTCCTGTACTCTTTGTATTGTAACGAAATTGTGGCTTATGTTTGTATCAGAGTAGAAGTTCACGGTACCTCTGTAGCTGAAGTGCATCTGCCCGTATCGGGTACAACCGGTTACCAGATTCCTCCTAAAGCTTGGACAATTGTCGGTTCAGCTGGTTCTACAACGGTCAATTTGATACCTAGGCTGGTTGGTTAGGGTATATCGGGACGCTGATTCAAATCTGACCGACTAATAAATGGGACGAGCAGTCGTGTGTGTTGGAGTGGTTCGCAGAACCACACTAACGACGGCGCTCATTATTCGGACCGACGACTAAGACGGACTGACGGTGGCGTGTTGACAGTGCCTTGGGAACTAGAGAGGAAACTACGACATTGCTTGGGAGTATGAGCTACGGCAAGAGAAGTATGGAAGGAAGACATTGACGAGGAGGAAGTGAGGAGAAAGTGATCGACGGGGGGAAATTGTGTGGGTCAACTGTGGCGTGTTCAGCAAGGAACCAAATGCGGACTTCAGGCGCGTTCGACGAAGGTGGAGAAAGGTTGCGTGTGCGACGCGGGGTGAAACGAGGCGCCACGTAACGTGTTGGACACGTTTTGTTACCTAGCCCATTTTGTACCTTGCTTGAACCTATATATTTGTTGTACCAGGTTGTTGAAGTAACACTTTGAAATTCTATCGCTTCAAACATTGTGTTCAATCCTGATTGGTCGAAACTTTGAGCATTTGATGAGACTCCCGTCAGATTCGCGTCAAACCTACGGAGAAGCCTTTGTGAAGGCTTAGACAAGCATTAGTGACGGAAATTTCAGCCGCGAGACTCCCGTCAAAGCCCTGCGAAGGGCCGAACCTGTTTCACTCGAGTGTAGGGCCCGCGAAAGCCCCGTGAAGGATCAGTGAAGACCACGCGAAGCAGAAATCGCCTCAGGATCGCGTCAGGGTTGAGTAAAGGCCTCGTCGAGGCCCCGTTAAGGCCGCGTAAGCCTCCCGTGAGGCGTTTCGCGACCAACACTGTGCTTCTACTTCGTTGCTGTGACATAGCCATTTCTACGAGCTTCACTAGAATCCAGTTTTCTACGAGCTTCGCTAGAATCCAGTTTTCCTCCGCTCGATCTGATTGGTCGACGGGTTCTCGTGGCGGATAGCCCTGGAGCTGACGTGGCAGGGGGTGGAGCTGTCGTGGCAGGGTCTGAGGGAGCCAAACCAGGGCAGGAAGGTTCTGAGAAGCAGACAAAGGCTGCAAGTGGGGGGGCGAGTGGGAGGCGAGGGGGAGGTAGAACTGGTGTAGGCAGTATCTTCCTGATGGGGGGCCAAGGAGACAAGGAGCAAGGAGAGAGGGGCCAGATCCCAACAATGAAGCGGGAAGTGGTTTCAGGGATAAAAGTGCTTATAAAGGGGGAAGGTGGGGGTGGGGGAGGTTCGGCAGCGGGTGGTTCGGGCCGAACCCGGCTCATGCCAAGCCCGAACCTCCCAATTGCAGCTCCCGTGTTTGTTAAACCAAGCAGTGCTAACAGTAGTACCAATGGTGCTAGTGGTACTGGTGGTGCTGCTGTTGCTGGTGGTGCTGCTGCTGGTGGTGCTAGTTCAAATGAGGCAACTGGGCAAGGCAAGAAGGGCGGTAAGGGGAAGAAGGGGCAGCAGGAGCAGCAGCACGTGAAGGAGCAGGAGAGTGACAGAAGGAGAGGTGCTTATAAGGAGGGCATGGCGAGGCTTCAGCATGATTCCCCACTGATGGAAGCTATGAGGGAGATAGAGGAGGAGGTGGGGGGGAGGAGCGGGGGGGGCGGGAACAGAAGGACCCGCGACCGCTGCGTGGAGTGCTTCATTCGCCGCTCGCGCAAGACCGGCACGTTCACGCTGTTTCTGGGCGTGCCGCCGAATTCGACGGAGAACGGCAAGTTCCTGCTCGCGGCGCGCAAGTGCGGCTGGCGGCCGTCAAGGTAAGCGGATAGCCGACTGCTTTAAAAAATCGTTTGACCCTAAACCGGAGTTGGTGTTTGTGCTTGTAGCCCTATTCTGCCCGTTTAACAAACCCTTGTTTGTGCTGGTTACGCTAATGCCTTCGTTCGCTTCAAATCGCACACCTGAGTTTGTGTCTCGCAAATTCACGTTTGCATGGAAAAAGTGTTTGTGCTGGTCACCCTATTGTGTCCGTTTCGCTCTGTTTCGCAACTTTCGAAATCATTCCAGCATGGAGTACGTGGTCTCGCTGGATCCGAAAGACTTTTCGCGCGGCGGAAGTTCGTTCGTCGGTCGCCTGCGAGCGAATTTCCTAAGCACGCGATTTGCCGTCTTTGAATCGTCGCACGAGGTGAGCGATGAAACCTGAGTTCGTTCGCATCGCACAATGTTAGGAAGGTTACAGTTCTACAACCGACTTTTGAGTCGTCTTAGAATAGACTTTTTTCACACAATATTAAGAAGGTTACACTCCTTCAACCGAGGTGTTTTAGAGTTTGAGTAGTTAGGGGTAACTTGGATGTGAAGACTTCTAGAAGAAGCTTACGGCTCTTCAACCCGCACCCGTATTTGCTACAGTATTGGAGTTCTTCTTTCGTAGTGTATATTGTCTTGACGGATCCGCCGCAGCTACCATAGCGCTCGACACCCAGGGTGTAAGAAAGCTGTCGCGAATGCCATAGGCGAGAAAAATTGCACCCAGTAACGCAGTATTTATCTTCCAAGCCCAAAACTGTCGAAGCTCCTCTCGGCGTCCGTTAATTTGCGCCAATTTTACCGTTTCGCCTGCCCCCCCATTCCTCTCCCTCCCCTCCTCACCCTCACCCCCCCCCCCCCCCCCCCCCCTCCGCCCTCCCGTCCCCCCCGCGCCGCATTTCCTGCGCATTTCCTCGTGCAGCCCGCGTTTTCTCTCGGCGCGGCGTCGCTGGCGCACGGCGGAAGCAGCAGCAGCAGCCGCAAGGTGCATCCCCGCGGAGCCGCTTTTTCCGCCAACGGTTACCACCACTGTAACCACTGTAGCAATCGGTGTGGTAACCACCATTGTGGTTACAACTGTGGCAGCAGCAGCACGGGCAGCAGAGGGGCCGGCACCCCTGTCGCGTGTAACGGTAACTTGGGCAGCTTTAACGGTTCCAGCTGTAGCGGCGCCAGCTGTAGCAGGGGTAGCGACGGGACAGGATTACTCGGCGCAGGTATTACCAGCAGTAGTGGCAGCGGCAGCGCCATTGGTGGTCGGGGCGATTGTAACGGCGCAAATGACGCTGACACGGCCACGTCAGCAGCGGTATCGTCAAGCCTCCGCGCACATTCCCCGCTTCCGCCTTCCCCCCTTGCTCGAAGCTTCCCTCTTCCGCGCTGTCTTCCGCCTCTCCCGCCGCCCGTTCTTGCGCATACAGGCTCAGTGGGGGGAAGGGGGAGGCGGGGGGGATTGTGAGTGAGTTTGAGTGGGGAGGGGGGGAGAGAGAGGAGGTGACTGTAGAAGAAGTGACTGAAGGGAGAGTGGGAGGGCGGGAGGAAGAGGGGAAGGGAGAGAGAGGGGAGGGGAAGAGAGTGGAGAGAGGGGAGGTAGAGAGGGAGGAGGGGACGGGAGAGGAGAGGAGGAAGAACGAGACCGAGGAGAGGCAAGAGAAGGAGGAGAGGGAGGAGGAGGAGAGATTGCTGGTGAGGCTCACTGGGAGTGGAGAAGAGGAGGGGGAGGGCGAGAAGCAAGAATGCACAGCAGCGGAGGAAGCAAGGGAAGCGAGGGAAGCAAGGTCACCACCCACAATCTGCACAAGAGAGCCCTTGGTCTCGTTCCCAGAGAGTGGGGAAGAGATGGGTGCGGGAGAGAGAATGGGGAGCAGTGGTAAGGAGGAGAGCAATGAGCAGCAGAGCATGCGAGAGGAGGGTGTGGAAGCAGGGGGGCAGTGGGAGAAGAAGAGTCAAGAGGAGAGCAGTCCGGAGGACGGGAGTTTAGAGGAGGGGAATCAGCAGGAGGAGTGTGGGGATTGGCCGACAGACGGCGCGTGTGAGCAGCAGGAGAGCAGTGGAGAGGGAAGGAGTGAGCAGGAGGGCAATCAGGGTTGGTTGCAAGGCGGAGGTTTCCAGGTGGCTTTTGAGTCAACTCAAATCACGCAAGGCGGAGGTTTCCAGGAAAGCAGCGGCAGCGAAGGCCTTCATATCTCCCCCTTCCCCGCCTCCGCGGACCCCTTCCTTCCCCCTGCTGCCCTTGAGCTTCCCCCTGCCGCCCTGCCCTTGCCCCTGCCCCTGCCCCTGCCCCTGCCCCTGCCCCTGCCCCTGCCCTTGCCCACATTGGAACTAGAAGCGGCACTAACAGCAGCAGCAGCAGCAGCAGCATCAGCAGCAACAGCAAGCGGAACGGCATGGTCAGAAGCAGCAGCAGCAAGAGCTGTGGCTTCACCAGAAGCAGCAGCAGCAAGAGCTGTGGCTTCACCAGAAGCAGCAGCAGCAGGTGCCAGAGCTGCGGCGGCTGTCACTCCCCCGTTCGCCTCCTCCTCTCTCCCCTCGGGTCCCTTGACTCCCCCATTCACCCCTTCCTCTCTCCCTGCTGCAGCTGCGACTCCCCCATTTGCTGCTTCGTCTGCCCCGTCTCCTGCCGCCCTTCCTGCTGCTCCTTCTGCTTCTGCTGCTCCTTCCCCTGCTGCTGCGCCTCCTGCTTTCAATGCAGAGGCAGATGCGGAGGGTGACACTGAGGGTGACTGTACGGAGTGTGACTGTGTGCGGTGCATCGGCCGAGCGCCTCTAGAGCCCATGGTGTTGCGGAACAAGCCACCCAGATGGCACGAGCAGCTGCAGGTATGTGTGTTTATTGGGGAATGAGGAGCGGTGCACAGCAGTACAGGGGAGTATTAAGCGGTGTTCGTATGGAAATAGATGAAGCCGAGCGCCCTTAGAGCCCATGGTGTTGCGGAACAAGCCTCCCAGATGGCACGAGCAGCTGCAGGTATGTGTGTGGGTGCTGGGGGGTGGGAAGCGGTGCACGGGAGTACAGGGTAGTTCAAGGGAGTATGAGGCCGAGCGCCTCTGGAGCCCATGGCGTTGCGGAACAAGTCTCGCAGATGGCACGAGCAGCTGCAGGTGAGGGGATACAAGGGGATATGGAGGAGTGCAAAGGAGTATAAGGGAGTATATGGGAGTATAGGGCAATATAAAGCTTTTTATCATGGGCCGAGCGCCCCTAGAGACTGTGGTATCGAGGAACAAGCCTCCCCGGTGGCACGCGCAGCTGCAGGTGTGTGTGTATTGAGGAAGGCAATTACAGATTAGAAAGCGAAATCTATCATGAAACATTGGGCCGAGCGCTCCCTCCCCTCCCCTCGCCTCCCCTCCTCGCCTTCCAGTGCTGGTGCCTCAACTTCAGAGGGCGAGTAACGGTTGCTTCGGTGAACAACTTCCAGCTGATAGAGGAGGGTGGGCCGGGGAGCATCTCAAATAAGGCCCTTCCAATCCTCCCTTGCATCCCCTTTTCCTGTCCATCCCATACACGCTTCCAGTGCTGGTGCCTCAACTTCAGGGGGCGAGTGACAGGGGGTGCTTCTGTGAAGAATTTCCAGCTGATAGAGGGGGGGGGGGGGCGGGGAACGACTCGGACAAGCCCCCTTCTCATCCCGCCCTTGCCTCCCCTTGCCTGCCCTCCCCCTCCCACACTGCCAGTGCTGGTGCTTGAACTTCAGGGGGCGAGTGACAGTGGCTTCAGTGAAGAACTTCCAGCTGATCGAGGGGGGCGGGCCGGGGAACGACTCTGACAAGCCGGTGCTGCTCCCCCCTTTCCCACCCCCTACCCGCCTCCCCTTTCCCGTACTCCCTTGCAGTGTTGGTGCCTCAACTTCCGTGGCCGCGTGACAGTAGCATCAGTGAAGAATTTTCAGCTGATAGAGGGGGGCGGGCCGGGGAACGACTCGGACAAGCCGGTGCTGCTGCAGTTCGGGAAGATTGACAAGGACGCTTTTACTATGGACTACAGATATCCACTCACGGCCTTCCAGGTGTGTTATTCTAGCACAAGTGCTGGTGTGTATGGTGCGGTGCCCTGAAGGTGTTGCTGCAGTTTGGGAAGATTGGCAAGGACACGTTCACCATGGACTACAGATACCCGCTTACTGCCTTCCAGGTGGGTGCTTCTTCTTTGAATGCTAGTGTGTATGGTTCGGAGCCCTGCCGGTGCTGCTGCTGCAGTTTGGCAAGATCGGAAAGGACACCTTTACCATGGACTACAGATACCCGCTTACGGCCTTCCAGGTGCGTAGTGCATGTGCCAAGTGCGTGCTGCTCTGTTTGGCTGAGGGTAGCTCATAGAGAGGAGCGGACCGGGGAACGACTCTGATAAGCCAGTGCTGCTGCAGTGTGGGAAGATTGGCAAGGACACTTTCACCATGGATAACAGATACCCGCTTACTGACTCCAGGTGGGTAGTGAAGTGCTGTTTCATGTGGTTAAAAATCGGTGCTCTGCCAGTGCTGCTGCTGCAGTTTGGCAAGATCGGCAAGGACACATTCACCATGGACTACAGATACCCGCTCACGGCCTTCCAGGTGGGTAGTGCTGCGTGTTCAGGGTGAGTTTCCTTTCAGGTATTGATACGCATGCAAGCCGGTGTTGCTGCAGTTGGGAAGATTGGCAAGGACACATTCACCATGGACTACAGATATCCACTCACGGCCTTCCAGGTAAGTGTGGACGGCCAGGTGTTTCCTCAGGTTTGTCTTTGGGTATCGTGTCAATACGCTTTCCCCATCTCCCGTCTCCCCGTGTTCTCTTCCCCTTGCCTTCTGGGCTGTTTTCTTTGTGCGTGCCCACATGTCACATGTCACATGTGCTTTCCTTGCTTCATATCACATGTCTGACGGATTGTTTTCTGCTTTGTATGTGTTCCCACGTCATGTGTGTTTTCCCTACATTATGCGTGCAGGCGTTTGCCATTTGCCTGAGCAGTTTCGATACCAAAGTGGCGTGCGAGTGATTCCATCATCACTTCCATCATCAGTTGAAAGCTTTTCAAGCTGTTGTTTTGTCGAGTCCAAAATCCACGTGCGAGCGAAATAGTGACACCGACGGCTTTTCGCGTTGCGTTCTAGATATGGTGTGGTGTGGTGTGGTACTGATGATGCGTGAAGAGGATTCCTCACTCAGGAACAACCAAGGGCAACAAATGAAAAAAAGACAGCGTGATGATATCTGGGAGACTGGAAAAGGGCATGTGCGTTGTGCTGATACAGCGGGTGGTGGTGGTGGTGTATTTTTTCTGCTTTGTGGTGCAATGCTGCGGATGAAAAGGTACTGGTAAGTTTCCTCTGGAGGAACGGGATTGTCTTTTGTGTACCTCGGATATGGGTTGGTTATTAAGGTTTGGACAATTGTGTTTAGGGACGGATGGTGATGACTGATTCAGGGATGTAGTCATGCTGGTGCCCTTGTTTGTTATTCCTGTACTCTTTGTATTGTAACGAAATTGTGGCTTATGTTTGTATCAGAGTAGAAGTTCACGGTACCTCTGTAGCTGAAGTGCATCTGCCCGTATCGGGTACAACCGGTTACCAGATTCCTCCTAAAGCTTGGACAATTGTCGGTTCAGCTGGTTCTACAACGGTCAATTTGATACCTAGGCTGGTTGGTTAGGGTATATCGGGACGCTGATTCAAATCTGACCGACTAATAAATGGGACGAGCAGTCGTGTGTGTTGGAGTGGTTCGCAGAACCACACTAACGACGGCGCTCATTATTCGGACCGACGACTAAGACGGACTGACGGTGGCGTGTTGACAGTGCCTTGGGAACTAGAGAGGAAACTACGACATTGCTTGGGAGTATGAGCTACGGCAAGAGAAGTATGGAAGGAAGACATTGACGAGGAGGAAGTGAGGAGAAAGTGATCGACGGGGGGAAATTGTGTGGGTCAACTGTGGCGTGTTCAGCAAGGAACCAAATGCGGACTTCAGGCGCGTTCGACGAAGGTGGAGAAAGGTTGCGTGTGCGACGCGGGGTGAAACGAGGCGCCACGTAACGTGTTGGACACGTTTTGTTACCTAGCCCATTTTGTACCTTGCTTGAACCTATATATTTGTTGTACCAGGTTGTTGAAGTAACACTTTGAAATTCTATCGCTTCAAACATTGTGTTCAATCCTGATTGGTCGAAACTTTGAGCATTTGATGAGACTCCCGTCAGATTCGCGTCAAACCTACGGAGAAGCCTTTGTGAAGGCTTAGACAAGCATTAGTGACGGAAATTTCAGCCGCGAGACTCCCGTCAAAGCCCTGCGAAGGGCCGAACCTGTTTCACTCGAGTGTAGGGCCCGCGAAAGCCCCGTGAAGGATCAGTGAAGACCACGCGAAGCAGAAATCGCCTCAGGATCGCGTCAGGGTTGAGTAAAGGCCTCGTCGAGGCCCCGTTAAGGCCGCGTAAGCCTCCCGTGAGGCGTTTCGCGACCAACACTGTGCTTCTACTTCGTTGCTGTGACATAGCCATTTCTACGAGCTTCACTAGAATCCAGTTTTCTACGAGCTTCGCTAGAATCCAGTTTTCCTCCGCTCGATCTGATTGGTCGACGGGTTCTCGTGGCGGATAGCCCTGGAGCTGACGTGGCAGGGGGTGGAGCTGTCGTGGCAGGGTCTGAGGGAGCCAAACCAGGGCAGGAAGGTTCTGAGAAGCAGACAAAGGCTGCAAGTGGGGGGGCGAGTGGGAGGCGAGGGGGAGGTAGAACTGGTGTAGGCAGTATCTTCCTGATGGGGGGCCAAGGAGACAAGGAGCAAGGAGAGAGGGGCCAGATCCCAACAATGAAGCGGGAAGTGGTTTCAGGGATAAAAGTGCTTATAAAGGGGGAAGGTGGGGGTGGGGGAGGTTCGGCAGCGGGTGGTTCGGGCCGAACCCGGCTCATGCCAAGCCCGAACCTCCCAATTGCAGCTCCCGTGTTTGTTAAACCAAGCAGTGCTAACAGTAGTACCAATGGTGCTAGTGGTACTGGTGGTGCTGCTGTTGCTGGTGGTGCTGCTGCTGGTGGTGCTAGTTCAAATGAGGCAACTGGGCAAGGCAAGAAGGGCGGTAAGGGGAAGAAGGGGCAGCAGGAGCAGCAGCACGTGAAGGAGCAGGAGAGTGACAGAAGGAGAGGTGCTTATAAGGAGGGCATGGCGAGGCTTCAGCATGATTCCCCACTGATGGAAGCTATGAGGGAGATAGAGGAGGAGGTGGGGGGGAGGAGCGGGGGGGGCGGGAACAGAAGGACCCGCGACCGCTGCGTGGAGTGCTTCATTCGCCGCTCGCGCAAGACCGGCACGTTCACGCTGTTTCTGGGCGTGCCGCCGAATTCGACGGAGAACGGCAAGTTCCTGCTCGCGGCGCGCAAGTGCGGCTGGCGGCCGTCAAGGTAAGCGGATAGCCGACTGCTTTAAAAAATCGTTTGACCCTAAACCGGAGTTGGTGTTTGTGCTTGTAGCCCTATTCTGCCCGTTTAACAAACCCTTGTTTGTGCTGGTTACGCTAATGCCTTCGTTCGCTTCAAATCGCACACCTGAGTTTGTGTCTCGCAAATTCACGTTTGCATGGAAAAAGTGTTTGTGCTGGTCACCCTATTGTGTCCGTTTCGCTCTGTTTCGCAACTTTCGAAATCATTCCAGCATGGAGTACGTGGTCTCGCTGGATCCGAAAGACTTTTCGCGCGGCGGAAGTTCGTTCGTCGGTCGCCTGCGAGCGAATTTCCTAAGCACGCGATTTGCCGTCTTTGAATCGTCGCACGAGGTGAGCGATGAAACCTGAGTTCGTTCGCATCGCACAATGTTAGGAAGGTTACAGTTCTACAACCGACTTTTGAGTCGTCTTAGAATAGACTTTTTTCACACAATATTAAGAAGGTTACACTCCTTCAACCGAGGTGTTTTAGAGTTTGAGTAGTTAGGGGTAACTTGGATGTGAAGACTTCTAGAAGAAGCTTACGGCTCTTCAACCCGCACCCGTATTTGCTACAGTATTGGAGTTCTTCTTTCGTAGTGTATATTGTCTTGACGGATCCGCCGCAGCTACCATAGCGCTCGACACCCAGGGTGTAAGAAAGCTGTCGCGAATGCCATAGGCGAGAAAAATTGCACCCAGTAACGCAGTATTTATCTTCCAAGCCCAAAACTGTCGAAGCTCCTCTCGGCGTCCGTTAATTTGCGCCAATTTTACCGTTTCGCCTGCCCCCCCATTCCTCTCCCTCCCCTCCTCACCCTCACCCCCCCCCCCCCCCCCCCCCCCCTCCGCCCTCCCGTCCCCCCCGCGCCGCATTTCCTGCGCATTTCCTCGTGCAGCCCGCGTTTTCTCTCGGCGCGGCGTCGCTGGCGCACGGCGGAAGCAGCAGCAGCAGCCGCAAGGTGCATCCCCGCGGAGCCGCTTTTTCCGCCAACGGTTACCACCACTGTAACCACTGTAGCAATCGGTGTGGTAACCACCATTGTGGTTACAACTGTGGCAGCAGCAGCACGGGCAGCAGAGGGGCCGGCACCCCTGTCGCGTGTAACGGTAACTTGGGCAGCTTTAACGGTTCCAGCTGTAGCGGCGCCAGCTGTAGCAGGGGTAGCGACGGGACAGGATTACTCGGCGCAGGTATTACCAGCAGTAGTGGCAGCGGCAGCGCCATTGGTGGTCGGGGCGATTGTAACGGCGCAAATGACGCTGACACGGCCACGTCAGCAGCGGTATCGTCAAGCCTCCGCGCACATTCCCCGCTTCCGCCTTCCCCCCTTGCTCGAAGCTTCCCTCTTCCGCGCTGTCTTCCGCCTCTCCCGCCGCCCGTTCTTGCGCATACAGGCTCAGTGGGGGGAAGGGGGAGGCGGGGGGGATTGTGAGTGAGTTTGAGTGGGGAGGGGGGGAGAGAGAGGAGGTGACTGTAGAAGAAGTGACTGAAGGGAGAGTGGGAGGGCGGGAGGAAGAGGGGAAGGGAGAGAGAGGGGAGGGGAAGAGAGTGGAGAGAGGGGAGGTAGAGAGGGAGGAGGGGACGGGAGAGGAGAGGAGGAAGAACGAGACCGAGGAGAGGCAAGAGAAGGAGGAGAGGGAGGAGGAGGAGAGATTGCTGGTGAGGCTCACTGGGAGTGGAGAAGAGGAGGGGGAGGGCGAGAAGCAAGAATGCACAGCAGCGGAGGAAGCAAGGGAAGCGAGGGAAGCAAGGTCACCACCCACAATCTGCACAAGAGAGCCCTTGGTCTCGTTCCCAGAGAGTGGGGAAGAGATGGGTGCGGGAGAGAGAATGGGGAGCAGTGGTAAGGAGGAGAGCAATGAGCAGCAGAGCATGCGAGAGGAGGGTGTGGAAGCAGGGGGGCAGTGGGAGAAGAAGAGTCAAGAGGAGAGCAGTCCGGAGGACGGGAGTTTAGAGGAGGGGAATCAGCAGGAGGAGTGTGGGGATTGGCCGACAGACGGCGCGTGTGAGCAGCAGGAGAGCAGTGGAGAGGGAAGGAGTGAGCAGGAGGGCAATCAGGGTTGGTTGCAAGGCGGAGGTTTCCAGGTGGCTTTTGAGTCAACTCAAATCACGCAAGGCGGAGGTTTCCAGGAAAGCAGCGGCAGCGAAGGCCTTCATATCTCCCCCTTCCCCGCCTCCGCGGACCCCTTCCTTCCCCCTGCTGCCCTTGAGCTTCCCCCTGCCGCCCTGCCCTTGCCCCTGCCCCTGCCCCTGCCCCTGCCCCTGCCCCTGCCCTTGCCCACATTGGAACTAGAAGCGGCACTAACAGCAGCAGCAGCAGCAGCAGCATCAGCAGCAACAGCAAGCGGAACGGCATGGTCAGAAGCAGCAGCAGCAAGAGCTGTGGCTTCACCAGAAGCAGCAGCAGCAAGAGCTGTGGCTTCACCAGAAGCAGCAGCAGCAGGTGCCAGAGCTGCGGCGGCTGTCACTCCCCCGTTCGCCTCCTCCTCTCTCCCCTCGGGTCCCTTGACTCCCCCATTCACCCCTTCCTCTCTCCCTGCTGCAGCTGCGACTCCCCCATTTGCTGCTTCGTCTGCCCCGTCTCCTGCCGCCCTTCCTGCTGCTCCTTCTGCTTCTGCTGCTCCTTCCCCTGCTGCTGCGCCTCCTGCTTTCAATGCAGAGGCAGATGCGGAGGGTGACACTGAGGGTGACTGTACGGAGTGTGACTGTGTGCGGTGCATCGGCCGAGCGCCTCTAGAGCCCATGGTGTTGCGGAACAAGCCACCCAGATGGCACGAGCAGCTGCAGGTATGTGTGTTTATTGGGGAATGAGGAGCGGTGCACAGCAGTACAGGGGAGTATTAAGCGGTGTTCGTATGGAAATAGATGAAGCCGAGCGCCCTTAGAGCCCATGGTGTTGCGGAACAAGCCTCCCAGATGGCACGAGCAGCTGCAGGTATGTGTGTGGGTGCTGGGGGGTGGGAAGCGGTGCACGGGAGTACAGGGTAGTTCAAGGGAGTATGAGGCCGAGCGCCTCTGGAGCCCATGGCGTTGCGGAACAAGTCTCGCAGATGGCACGAGCAGCTGCAGGTGAGGGGATACAAGGGGATATGGAGGAGTGCAAAGGAGTATAAGGGAGTATATGGGAGTATAGGGCAATATAAAGCTTTTTATCATGGGCCGAGCGCCCCTAGAGACTGTGGTATCGAGGAACAAGCCTCCCCGGTGGCACGCGCAGCTGCAGGTGTGTGTGTATTGAGGAAGGCAATTACAGATTAGAAAGCGAAATCTATCATGAAACATTGGGCCGAGCGCTCCCTCCCCTCCCCTCGCCTCCCCTCCTCGCCTTCCAGTGCTGGTGCCTCAACTTCAGAGGGCGAGTAACGGTTGCTTCGGTGAACAACTTCCAGCTGATAGAGGAGGGTGGGCCGGGGAGCATCTCAAATAAGGCCCTTCCAATCCTCCCTTGCATCCCCTTTTCCTGTCCATCCCATACACGCTTCCAGTGCTGGTGCCTCAACTTCAGGGGGCGAGTGACAGGGGGTGCTTCTGTGAAGAATTTCCAGCTGATAGAGGGGGGGGGGGGGCGGGGAACGACTCGGACAAGCCCCCTTCTCATCCCGCCCTTGCCTCCCCTTGCCTGCCCTCCCCCTCCCACACTGCCAGTGCTGGTGCTTGAACTTCAGGGGGCGAGTGACAGTGGCTTCAGTGAAGAACTTCCAGCTGATCGAGGGGGGCGGGCCGGGGAACGACTCTGACAAGCCGGTGCTGCTCCCCCCTTTCCCACCCCCTACCCGCCTCCCCTTTCCCGTACTCCCTTGCAGTGTTGGTGCCTCAACTTCCGTGGCCGCGTGACAGTAGCATCAGTGAAGAATTTTCAGCTGATAGAGGGGGGCGGGCCGGGGAACGACTCGGACAAGCCGGTGCTGCTGCAGTTCGGGAAGATTGACAAGGACGCTTTTACTATGGACTACAGATATCCACTCACGGCCTTCCAGGTGTGTTATTCTAGCACAAGTGCTGGTGTGTATGGTGCGGTGCCCTGAAGGTGTTGCTGCAGTTTGGGAAGATTGGCAAGGACACGTTCACCATGGACTACAGATACCCGCTTACTGCCTTCCAGGTGGGTGCTTCTTCTTTGAATGCTAGTGTGTATGGTTCGGAGCCCTGCCGGTGCTGCTGCTGCAGTTTGGCAAGATCGGAAAGGACACCTTTACCATGGACTACAGATACCCGCTTACGGCCTTCCAGGTGCGTAGTGCATGTGCCAAGTGCGTGCTGCTCTGTTTGGCTGAGGGTAGCTCATAGAGAGGAGCGGACCGGGGAACGACTCTGATAAGCCAGTGCTGCTGCAGTGTGGGAAGATTGGCAAGGACACTTTCACCATGGATAACAGATACCCGCTTACTGACTCCAGGTGGGTAGTGAAGTGCTGTTTCATGTGGTTAAAAATCGGTGCTCTGCCAGTGCTGCTGCTGCAGTTTGGCAAGATCGGCAAGGACACATTCACCATGGACTACAGATACCCGCTCACGGCCTTCCAGGTGGGTAGTGCTGCGTGTTCAGGGTGAGTTTCCTTTCAGGTATTGATACGCATGCAAGCCGGTGTTGCTGCAGTTGGGAAGATTGGCAAGGACACATTCACCATGGACTACAGATATCCACTCACGGCCTTCCAGGTAAGTGTGGACGGCCAGGTGTTTCCTCAGGTTTGTCTTTGGGTATCGTGTCAATACGCTTTCCCCATCTCCCGTCTCCCCGTGTTCTCTTCCCCTTGCCTTCTGGGCTGTTTTCTTTGTGCGTGCCCACATGTCACATGTCACATGTGCTTTCCTTGCTTCATATCACATGTCTGACGGATTGTTTTCTGCTTTGTATGTGTTCCCACGTCATGTGTGTTTTCCCTACATTATGCGTGCAGGCGTTTGCCATTTGCCTGAGCAGTTTCGATACCAAAGTGGCGTGCGAGTGATTCCATCATCACTTCCATCATCAGTTGAAAGCTTTTCAAGCTGTTGTTTTGTCGAGTCCAAAATCCACGTGCGAGCGAAATAGTGACACCGACGGCTTTTCGCGTTGCGTTCTAGATATGGTGTGGTGTGGTGTGGTACTGATGATGCGTGAAGAGGATTCCTCACTCAGGAACAACCAAGGGCAACAAATGAAAAAAAGACAGCGTGATGATATCTGGGAGACTGGAAAAGGGCATGTGCGTTGTGCTGATACAGCGGGTGGTGGTGGTGGTGTATTTTTTCTGCTTTGTGGTGCAATGCTGCGGATGAAAAGGTACTGGTAAGTTTCCTCTGGAGGAACGGGATTGTCTTTTGTGTACCTCGGATATGGGTTGGTTATTAAGGTTTGGACAATTGTGTTTAGGGACGGATGGTGATGACTGATTCAGGGATGTAGTCATGCTGGTGCCCTTGTTTGTTATTCCTGTACTCTTTGTATTGTAACGAAATTGTGGCTTATGTTTGTATCAGAGTAGAAGTTCACGGTACCTCTGTAGCTGAAGTGCATCTGCCCGTATCGGGTACAACCGGTTACCAGATTCCTCCTAAAGCTTGGACAATTGTCGGTTCAGCTGGTTCTACAACGGTCAATTTGATACCTAGGCTGGTTGGTTAGGGTATATCGGGACGCTGATTCAAATCTGACCGACTAATAAATGGGACGAGCAGTCGTGTGTGTTGGAGTGGTTCGCAGAACCACACTAACGACGGCGCTCATTATTCGGACCGACGACTAAGACGGACTGACGGTGGCGTGTTGACAGTGCCTTGGGAACTAGAGAGGAAACTACGACATTGCTTGGGAGTATGAGCTACGGCAAGAGAAGTATGGAAGGAAGACATTGACGAGGAGGAAGTGAGGAGAAAGTGATCGACGGGGGGAAATTGTGTGGGTCAACTGTGGCGTGTTCAGCAAGGAACCAAATGCGGACTTCAGGCGCGTTCGACGAAGGTGGAGAAAGGTTGCGTGTGCGACGCGGGGTGAAACGAGGCGCCACGTAACGTGTTGGACACGTTTTGTTACCTAGCCCATTTTGTACCTTGCTTGAACCTATATATTTGTTGTACCAGGTTGTTGAAGTAACACTTTGAAATTCTATCGCTTCAAACATTGTGTTCAATCCTGATTGGTCGAAACTTTGAGCATTTGATGAGACTCCCGTCAGATTCGCGTCAAACCTACGGAGAAGCCTTTGTGAAGGCTTAGACAAGCATTAGTGACGGAAATTTCAGCCGCGAGACTCCCGTCAAAGCCCTGCGAAGGGCCGAACCTGTTTCACTCGAGTGTAGGGCCCGCGAAAGCCCCGTGAAGGATCAGTGAAGACCACGCGAAGCAGAAATCGCCTCAGGATCGCGTCAGGGTTGAGTAAAGGCCTCGTCGAGGCCCCGTTAAGGCCGCGTAAGCCTCCCGTGAGGCGTTTCGCGACCAACACTGTGCTTCTACTTCGTTGCTGTGACATAGCCATTTCTACGAGCTTCACTAGAATCCAGTTTTCTACGAGCTTCGCTAGAATCCAGTTTTCCTCCGCTCGATCTGATTGGTCGACGGGTTCTCGTGGCGGATAGCCCTGGAGCTGACGTGGCAGGGGGTGGAGCTGTCGTGGCAGGGTCTGAGGGAGCCAAACCAGGGCAGGAAGGTTCTGAGAAGCAGACAAAGGCTGCAAGTGGGGGGGCGAGTGGGAGGCGAGGGGGAGGTAGAACTGGTGTAGGCAGTATCTTCCTGATGGGGGGCCAAGGAGACAAGGAGCAAGGAGAGAGGGGCCAGATCCCAACAATGAAGCGGGAAGTGGTTTCAGGGATAAAAGTGCTTATAAAGGGGGAAGGTGGGGGTGGGGGAGGTTCGGCAGCGGGTGGTTCGGGCCGAACCCGGCTCATGCCAAGCCCGAACCTCCCAATTGCAGCTCCCGTGTTTGTTAAACCAAGCAGTGCTAACAGTAGTACCAATGGTGCTAGTGGTACTGGTGGTGCTGCTGTTGCTGGTGGTGCTGCTGCTGGTGGTGCTAGTTCAAATGAGGCAACTGGGCAAGGCAAGAAGGGCGGTAAGGGGAAGAAGGGGCAGCAGGAGCAGCAGCACGTGAAGGAGCAGGAGAGTGACAGAAGGAGAGGTGCTTATAAGGAGGGCATGGCGAGGCTTCAGCATGATTCCCCACTGATGGAAGCTATGAGGGAGATAGAGGAGGAGGTGGGGGGGAGGAGCGGGGGGGGCGGGAACAGAAGGACCCGCGACCGCTGCGTGGAGTGCTTCATTCGCCGCTCGCGCAAGACCGGCACGTTCACGCTGTTTCTGGGCGTGCCGCCGAATTCGACGGAGAACGGCAAGTTCCTGCTCGCGGCGCGCAAGTGCGGCTGGCGGCCGTCAAGGTAAGCGGATAGCCGACTGCTTTAAAAAATCGTTTGACCCTAAACCGGAGTTGGTGTTTGTGCTTGTAGCCCTATTCTGCCCGTTTAACAAACCCTTGTTTGTGCTGGTTACGCTAATGCCTTCGTTCGCTTCAAATCGCACACCTGAGTTTGTGTCTCGCAAATTCACGTTTGCATGGAAAAAGTGTTTGTGCTGGTCACCCTATTGTGTCCGTTTCGCTCTGTTTCGCAACTTTCGAAATCATTCCAGCATGGAGTACGTGGTCTCGCTGGATCCGAAAGACTTTTCGCGCGGCGGAAGTTCGTTCGTCGGTCGCCTGCGAGCGAATTTCCTAAGCACGCGATTTGCCGTCTTTGAATCGTCGCACGAGGTGAGCGATGAAACCTGAGTTCGTTCGCATCGCACAATGTTAGGAAGGTTACAGTTCTACAACCGACTTTTGAGTCGTCTTAGAATAGACTTTTTTCACACAATATTAAGAAGGTTACACTCCTTCAACCGAGGTGTTTTAGAGTTTGAGTAGTTAGGGGTAACTTGGATGTGAAGACTTCTAGAAGAAGCTTACGGCTCTTCAACCCGCACCCGTATTTGCTACAGTATTGGAGTTCTTCTTTCGTAGTGTATATTGTCTTGACGGATCCGCCGCAGCTACCATAGCGCTCGACACCCAGGGTGTAAGAAAGCTGTCGCGAATGCCATAGGCGAGAAAAATTGCACCCAGTAACGCAGTATTTATCTTCCAAGCCCAAAACTGTCGAAGCTCCTCTCGGCGTCCGTTAATTTGCGCCAATTTTACCGTTTCGCCTGCCCCCCCATTCCTCTCCCTCCCCTCCTCACCCTCACCCCCCCCCCCCCCCCCCCCCCTCCGCCCTCCCGTCCCCCCCGCGCCGCATTTCCTGCGCATTTCCTCGTGCAGCCCGCGTTTTCTCTCGGCGCGGCGTCGCTGGCGCACGGCGGAAGCAGCAGCAGCAGCCGCAAGGTGCATCCCCGCGGAGCCGCTTTTTCCGCCAACGGTTACCACCACTGTAACCACTGTAGCAATCGGTGTGGTAACCACCATTGTGGTTACAACTGTGGCAGCAGCAGCACGGGCAGCAGAGGGGCCGGCACCCCTGTCGCGTGTAACGGTAACTTGGGCAGCTTTAACGGTTCCAGCTGTAGCGGCGCCAGCTGTAGCAGGGGTAGCGACGGGACAGGATTACTCGGCGCAGGTATTACCAGCAGTAGTGGCAGCGGCAGCGCCATTGGTGGTCGGGGCGATTGTAACGGCGCAAATGACGCTGACACGGCCACGTCAGCAGCGGTATCGTCAAGCCTCCGCGCACATTCCCCGCTTCCGCCTTCCCCCCTTGCTCGAAGCTTCCCTCTTCCGCGCTGTCTTCCGCCTCTCCCGCCGCCCGTTCTTGCGCATACAGGCTCAGTGGGGGGAAGGGGGAGGCGGGGGGGATTGTGAGTGAGTTTGAGTGGGGAGGGGGGGAGAGAGAGGAGGTGACTGTAGAAGAAGTGACTGAAGGGAGAGTGGGAGGGCGGGAGGAAGAGGGGAAGGGAGAGAGAGGGGAGGGGAAGAGAGTGGAGAGAGGGGAGGTAGAGAGGGAGGAGGGGACGGGAGAGGAGAGGAGGAAGAACGAGACCGAGGAGAGGCAAGAGAAGGAGGAGAGGGAGGAGGAGGAGAGATTGCTGGTGAGGCTCACTGGGAGTGGAGAAGAGGAGGGGGAGGGCGAGAAGCAAGAATGCACAGCAGCGGAGGAAGCAAGGGAAGCGAGGGAAGCAAGGTCACCACCCACAATCTGCACAAGAGAGCCCTTGGTCTCGTTCCCAGAGAGTGGGGAAGAGATGGGTGCGGGAGAGAGAATGGGGAGCAGTGGTAAGGAGGAGAGCAATGAGCAGCAGAGCATGCGAGAGGAGGGTGTGGAAGCAGGGGGGCAGTGGGAGAAGAAGAGTCAAGAGGAGAGCAGTCCGGAGGACGGGAGTTTAGAGGAGGGGAATCAGCAGGAGGAGTGTGGGGATTGGCCGACAGACGGCGCGTGTGAGCAGCAGGAGAGCAGTGGAGAGGGAAGGAGTGAGCAGGAGGGCAATCAGGGTTGGTTGCAAGGCGGAGGTTTCCAGGTGGCTTTTGAGTCAACTCAAATCACGCAAGGCGGAGGTTTCCAGGAAAGCAGCGGCAGCGAAGGCCTTCATATCTCCCCCTTCCCCGCCTCCGCGGACCCCTTCCTTCCCCCTGCTGCCCTTGAGCTTCCCCCTGCCGCCCTGCCCTTGCCCCTGCCCCTGCCCCTGCCCCTGCCCCTGCCCCTGCCCTTGCCCACATTGGAACTAGAAGCGGCACTAACAGCAGCAGCAGCAGCAGCAGCATCAGCAGCAACAGCAAGCGGAACGGCATGGTCAGAAGCAGCAGCAGCAAGAGCTGTGGCTTCACCAGAAGCAGCAGCAGCAAGAGCTGTGGCTTCACCAGAAGCAGCAGCAGCAGGTGCCAGAGCTGCGGCGGCTGTCACTCCCCCGTTCGCCTCCTCCTCTCTCCCCTCGGGTCCCTTGACTCCCCCATTCACCCCTTCCTCTCTCCCTGCTGCAGCTGCGACTCCCCCATTTGCTGCTTCGTCTGCCCCGTCTCCTGCCGCCCTTCCTGCTGCTCCTTCTGCTTCTGCTGCTCCTTCCCCTGCTGCTGCGCCTCCTGCTTTCAATGCAGAGGCAGATGCGGAGGGTGACACTGAGGGTGACTGTACGGAGTGTGACTGTGTGCGGTGCATCGGCCGAGCGCCTCTAGAGCCCATGGTGTTGCGGAACAAGCCACCCAGATGGCACGAGCAGCTGCAGGTATGTGTGTTTATTGGGGAATGAGGAGCGGTGCACAGCAGTACAGGGGAGTATTAAGCGGTGTTCGTATGGAAATAGATGAAGCCGAGCGCCCTTAGAGCCCATGGTGTTGCGGAACAAGCCTCCCAGATGGCACGAGCAGCTGCAGGTATGTGTGTGGGTGCTGGGGGGTGGGAAGCGGTGCACGGGAGTACAGGGTAGTTCAAGGGAGTATGAGGCCGAGCGCCTCTGGAGCCCATGGCGTTGCGGAACAAGTCTCGCAGATGGCACGAGCAGCTGCAGGTGAGGGGATACAAGGGGATATGGAGGAGTGCAAAGGAGTATAAGGGAGTATATGGGAGTATAGGGCAATATAAAGCTTTTTATCATGGGCCGAGCGCCCCTAGAGACTGTGGTATCGAGGAACAAGCCTCCCCGGTGGCACGCGCAGCTGCAGGTGTGTGTGTATTGAGGAAGGCAATTACAGATTAGAAAGCGAAATCTATCATGAAACATTGGGCCGAGCGCTCCCTCCCCTCCCCTCGCCTCCCCTCCTCGCCTTCCAGTGCTGGTGCCTCAACTTCAGAGGGCGAGTAACGGTTGCTTCGGTGAACAACTTCCAGCTGATAGAGGAGGGTGGGCCGGGGAGCATCTCAAATAAGGCCCTTCCAATCCTCCCTTGCATCCCCTTTTCCTGTCCATCCCATACACGCTTCCAGTGCTGGTGCCTCAACTTCAGGGGGCGAGTGACAGGGGGTGCTTCTGTGAAGAATTTCCAGCTGATAGAGGGGGGGGGGGGGCGGGGAACGACTCGGACAAGCCCCCTTCTCATCCCGCCCTTGCCTCCCCTTGCCTGCCCTCCCCCTCCCACACTGCCAGTGCTGGTGCTTGAACTTCAGGGGGCGAGTGACAGTGGCTTCAGTGAAGAACTTCCAGCTGATCGAGGGGGGCGGGCCGGGGAACGACTCTGACAAGCCGGTGCTGCTCCCCCCTTTCCCACCCCCTACCCGCCTCCCCTTTCCCGTACTCCCTTGCAGTGTTGGTGCCTCAACTTCCGTGGCCGCGTGACAGTAGCATCAGTGAAGAATTTTCAGCTGATAGAGGGGGGCGGGCCGGGGAACGACTCGGACAAGCCGGTGCTGCTGCAGTTCGGGAAGATTGACAAGGACGCTTTTACTATGGACTACAGATATCCACTCACGGCCTTCCAGGTGTGTTATTCTAGCACAAGTGCTGGTGTGTATGGTGCGGTGCCCTGAAGGTGTTGCTGCAGTTTGGGAAGATTGGCAAGGACACGTTCACCATGGACTACAGATACCCGCTTACTGCCTTCCAGGTGGGTGCTTCTTCTTTGAATGCTAGTGTGTATGGTTCGGAGCCCTGCCGGTGCTGCTGCTGCAGTTTGGCAAGATCGGAAAGGACACCTTTACCATGGACTACAGATACCCGCTTACGGCCTTCCAGGTGCGTAGTGCATGTGCCAAGTGCGTGCTGCTCTGTTTGGCTGAGGGTAGCTCATAGAGAGGAGCGGACCGGGGAACGACTCTGATAAGCCAGTGCTGCTGCAGTGTGGGAAGATTGGCAAGGACACTTTCACCATGGATAACAGATACCCGCTTACTGACTCCAGGTGGGTAGTGAAGTGCTGTTTCATGTGGTTAAAAATCGGTGCTCTGCCAGTGCTGCTGCTGCAGTTTGGCAAGATCGGCAAGGACACATTCACCATGGACTACAGATACCCGCTCACGGCCTTCCAGGTGGGTAGTGCTGCGTGTTCAGGGTGAGTTTCCTTTCAGGTATTGATACGCATGCAAGCCGGTGTTGCTGCAGTTGGGAAGATTGGCAAGGACACATTCACCATGGACTACAGATATCCACTCACGGCCTTCCAGGTAAGTGTGGACGGCCAGGTGTTTCCTCAGGTTTGTCTTTGGGTATCGTGTCAATACGCTTTCCCCATCTCCCGTCTCCCCGTGTTCTCTTCCCCTTGCCTTCTGGGCTGTTTTCTTTGTGCGTGCCCACATGTCACATGTCACATGTGCTTTCCTTGCTTCATATCACATGTCTGACGGATTGTTTTCTGCTTTGTATGTGTTCCCACGTCATGTGTGTTTTCCCTACATTATGCGTGCAGGCGTTTGCCATTTGCCTGAGCAGTTTCGATACCAAAGTGGCGTGCGAGTGATTCCATCATCACTTCCATCATCAGTTGAAAGCTTTTCAAGCTGTTGTTTTGTCGAGTCCAAAATCCACGTGCGAGCGAAATAGTGACACCGACGGCTTTTCGCGTTGCGTTCTAGATATGGTGTGGTGTGGTGTGGTACTGATGATGCGTGAAGAGGATTCCTCACTCAGGAACAACCAAGGGCAACAAATGAAAAAAAGACAGCGTGATGATATCTGGGAGACTGGAAAAGGGCATGTGCGTTGTGCTGATACAGCGGGTGGTGGTGGTGGTGTATTTTTTCTGCTTTGTGGTGCAATGCTGCGGATGAAAAGGTACTGGTAAGTTTCCTCTGGAGGAACGGGATTGTCTTTTGTGTACCTCGGATATGGGTTGGTTATTAAGGTTTGGACAATTGTGTTTAGGGACGGATGGTGATGACTGATTCAGGGATGTAGTCATGCTGGTGCCCTTGTTTGTTATTCCTGTACTCTTTGTATTGTAACGAAATTGTGGCTTATGTTTGTATCAGAGTAGAAGTTCACGGTACCTCCGTAGCTGAAGTGCATCTGCCCGTATCGGGTACAACCGGTTACCAGATTCCTCCTAAAGCTTGGACAATTGTCGGTTCAGCTGGTTCTACAACGGTCAATTTGATACCTAGGCTGGTTGGTTAGGGTATATCGGGACGCTGATTCAAATCTGACCGACTAATAAATGGGACGAGCAGTCGTGTGTGTTGGAGTGGTTCGCAGAACCACACTAACGACGGCGCTCATTATTCGGACCGACGACTAAGACGGACTGACGGTGGCGTGTTGACAGTGCCTTGGGAACTAGAGAGGAAACTACGACATTGCTTGGGAGTATGAGCTACGGCAAGAGAAGTATGGAAGGAAGACATTGACGAGGAGGAAGTGAGGAGAAAGTGATCGACGGGGGGAAATTGTGTGGGTCAACTGTGGCGTGTTCAGCAAGGAACCAAATGCGGACTTCAGGCGCGTTCGACGAAGGTGGAGAAAGGTTGCGTGTGCGACGCGGGGTGAAACGAGGCGCCACGTAACGTGTTGGACACGTTTTGTTACCTAGCCCATTTTGTACCTTGCTTGAACCTATATATTTGTTGTACCAGGTTGTTGAAGTAACACTTTGAAATTCTATCGCTTCAAACATTGTGTTCAATCCTGATTGGTCGAAACTTTGAGCATTTGATGAGACTCCCGTCAGATTCGCGTCAAACCTACGGAGAAGCCTTTGTGAAGGCTTAGACAAGCATTAGTGACGGAAATTTCAGCCGCGAGACTCCCGTCAAAGCCCTGCGAAGGGCCGAACCTGTTTCACTCGAGTGTAGGGCCCGCGAAAGCCCCGTGAAGGATCAGTGAAGACCACGCGAAGCAGAAATCGCCTCAGGATCGCGTCAGGGTTGAGTAAAGGCCTCGTCGAGGCCCCGTTAAGGCCGCGTAAGCCTCCCGTGAGGCGTTTCGCGACCAACACTGTGCTTCTACTTCGTTGCTGTGACATAGCCATTTCTACGAGCTTCACTAGAATCCAGTTTTCTACGAGCTTCGCTAGAATCCAGTTTTCCTCCGCTCGATCTGATTGGTCGACGGGTTCTCGTGGCGGATAGCCCTGGAGCTGACGTGGCAGGGGGTGGAGCTGTCGTGGCAGGGTCTGAGGGAGCCAAACCAGGGCAGGAAGGTTCTGAGAAGCAGACAAAGGCTGCAAGTGGGGGGGCGAGTGGGAGGCGAGGGGGAGGTAGAACTGGTGTAGGCAGTATCTTCCTGATGGGGGGCCAAGGAGACAAGGAGCAAGGAGAGAGGGGCCAGATCCCAACAATGAAGCGGGAAGTGGTTTCAGGGATAAAAGTGCTTATAAAGGGGGAAGGTGGGGGTGGGGGAGGTTCGGCAGCGGGTGGTTCGGGCCGAACCCGGCTCATGCCAAGCCCGAACCTCCCAATTGCAGCTCCCGTGTTTGTTAAACCAAGCAGTGCTAACAGTAGTACCAATGGTGCTAGTGGTACTGGTGGTGCTGCTGTTGCTGGTGGTGCTGCTGCTGGTGGTGCTAGTTCAAATGAGGCAACTGGGCAAGGCAAGAAGGGCGGTAAGGGGAAGAAGGGGCAGCAGGAGCAGCAGCACGTGAAGGAGCAGGAGAGTGACAGAAGGAGAGGTGCTTATAAGGAGGGCATGGCGAGGCTTCAGCATGATTCCCCACTGATGGAAGCTATGAGGGAGATAGAGGAGGAGGTGGGGGGGAGGAGCGGGGGGGGCGGGAACAGAAGGACCCGCGACCGCTGCGTGGAGTGCTTCATTCGCCGCTCGCGCAAGACCGGCACGTTCACGCTGTTTCTGGGCGTGCCGCCGAATTCGACGGAGAACGGCAAGTTCCTGCTCGCGGCGCGCAAGTGCGGCTGGCGGCCGTCAAGGTAAGCGGATAGCCGACTGCTTTAAAAAATCGTTTGACCCTAAACCGGAGTTGGTGTTTGTGCTTGTAGCCCTATTCTGCCCGTTTAACAAACCCTTGTTTGTGCTGGTTACGCTAATGCCTTCGTTCGCTTCAAATCGCACACCTGAGTTTGTGTCTCGCAAATTCACGTTTGCATGGAAAAAGTGTTTGTGCTGGTCACCCTATTGTGTCCGTTTCGCTCTGTTTCGCAACTTTCGAAATCATTCCAGCATGGAGTACGTGGTCTCGCTGGATCCGAAAGACTTTTCGCGCGGCGGAAGTTCGTTCGTCGGTCGCCTGCGAGCGAATTTCCTAAGCACGCGATTTGCCGTCTTTGAATCGTCGCACGAGGTGAGCGATGAAACCTGAGTTCGTTCGCATCGCACAATGTTAGGAAGGTTACAGTTCTACAACCGACTTTTGAGTCGTCTTAGAATAGACTTTTTTCACACAATATTAAGAAGGTTACACTCCTTCAACCGAGGTGTTTTAGAGTTTGAGTAGTTAGGGGTAACTTGGATGTGAAGACTTCTAGAAGAAGCTTACGGCTCTTCAACCCGCACCCGTATTTGCTACAGTATTGGAGTTCTTCTTTCGTAGTGTATATTGTCTTGACGGATCCGCCGCAGCTACCATAGCGCTCGACACCCAGGGTGTAAGAAAGCTGTCGCGAATGCCATAGGCGAGAAAAATTGCACCCAGTAACGCAGTATTTATCTTCCAAGCCCAAAACTGTCGAAGCTCCTCTCGGCGTCCGTTAATTTGCGCCAATTTTACCGTTTCGCCTGCCCCCCCATTCCTCTCCCTCCCCTCCTCACCCTCACCCCCCCCCCCCCCCCCCCCCCCCTCCGCCCTCCCGTCCCCCCCGCGCCGCATTTCCTGCGCATTTCCTCGTGCAGCCCGCGTTTTCTCTCGGCGCGGCGTCGCTGGCGCACGGCGGAAGCAGCAGCAGCAGCCGCAAGGTGCATCCCCGCGGAGCCGCTTTTTCCGCCAACGGTTACCACCACTGTAACCACTGTAGCAATCGGTGTGGTAACCACCATTGTGGTTACAACTGTGGCAGCAGCAGCACGGGCAGCAGAGGGGCCGGCACCCCTGTCGCGTGTAACGGTAACTTGGGCAGCTTTAACGGTTCCAGCTGTAGCGGCGCCAGCTGTAGCAGGGGTAGCGACGGGACAGGATTACTCGGCGCAGGTATTACCAGCAGTAGTGGCAGCGGCAGCGCCATTGGTGGTCGGGGCGATTGTAACGGCGCAAATGACGCTGACACGGCCACGTCAGCAGCGGTATCGTCAAGCCTCCGCGCACATTCCCCGCTTCCGCCTTCCCCCCTTGCTCGAAGCTTCCCTCTTCCGCGCTGTCTTCCGCCTCTCCCGCCGCCCGTTCTTGCGCATACAGGCTCAGTGGGGGGAAGGGGGAGGCGGGGGGGATTGTGAGTGAGTTTGAGTGGGGAGGGGGGGAGAGAGAGGAGGTGACTGTAGAAGAAGTGACTGAAGGGAGAGTGGGAGGGCGGGAGGAAGAGGGGAAGGGAGAGAGAGGGGAGGGGAAGAGAGTGGAGAGAGGGGAGGTAGAGAGGGAGGAGGGGACGGGAGAGGAGAGGAGGAAGAACGAGACCGAGGAGAGGCAAGAGAAGGAGGAGAGGGAGGAGGAGGAGAGATTGCTGGTGAGGCTCACTGGGAGTGGAGAAGAGGAGGGGGAGGGCGAGAAGCAAGAATGCACAGCAGCGGAGGAAGCAAGGGAAGCGAGGGAAGCAAGGTCACCACCCACAATCTGCACAAGAGAGCCCTTGGTCTCGTTCCCAGAGAGTGGGGAAGAGATGGGTGCGGGAGAGAGAATGGGGAGCAGTGGTAAGGAGGAGAGCAATGAGCAGCAGAGCATGCGAGAGGAGGGTGTGGAAGCAGGGGGGCAGTGGGAGAAGAAGAGTCAAGAGGAGAGCAGTCCGGAGGACGGGAGTTTAGAGGAGGGGAATCAGCAGGAGGAGTGTGGGGATTGGCCGACAGACGGCGCGTGTGAGCAGCAGGAGAGCAGTGGAGAGGGAAGGAGTGAGCAGGAGGGCAATCAGGGTTGGTTGCAAGGCGGAGGTTTCCAGGTGGCTTTTGAGTCAACTCAAATCACGCAAGGCGGAGGTTTCCAGGAAAGCAGCGGCAGCGAAGGCCTTCATATCTCCCCCTTCC